CTTGTGGATCCAGTGCGGCGCATTGATCTCCACCGACTTGACCGAGTTGGCCTTTTGGTAGACAACGGTGAGGGCATTACCCAGGGCCACCTGCGGTCCACGCAGCGTGATCGTCTCCAAGGTGGAGTCGTTGGGCGGCATCTCCACGGACACACCGGTCAACTGCAGAATTTCGGCTATGGTGGAGCCCTTGGGACCGATGACGTAGCGGTGCTGCGCCTTGGCCACCTCCACACTGACCGTGGAGCACTTCTTCTCCATCTCCTTGTAAATGGCCTCCACTTTGGCCTTGGCCGCTGCGACGGCATCCTTCTCGCCAGAGATGATGATCTCATCCTTTTGCACCTGCTGCGGCGGCACGTTGATCTTGGCGCCCGTCTCCTCCTGCAGCTTGTTGAGGTTCTCGCTGTAGGGGCCCACAATGAAGGGGTGATAGATCTTGGGCACCGTGGTGCGGTCCGCAAACTTCTTGTACTGCTCGGCGGACAGCTGGCGGATCTCTTGCTCGGCCTGAGCAATGCCCTCCTTGGTGCCGGCGATGGTGATGAACTCGCTCTCATCGCCCTGGCTGGGGATGTTGATGCGCGTGGAGGTGGTGCGTTCGAGTTCGCGCAACCGCTGGCCACCCTTGCCGAGGATGACACGGTAGTGTTCTCGCGGTACGGTCACCTGGCGGCTGGCCTGCGTCGAGAAGCCCATCAGGATCTTGCGGCGGGCATCGAGCAGCTCGCTCTGCTTGCCCTTGATCAGGAACGTCAGCGACTGGTTCTTGCCGCTCACGATCTCGATTTGAGCGCCCGTCTCCTTGGTGATCTGCTGGCAAATCCGCTTCGACTCGCCCTCTCCGAACTTCTCGGACTCCGTGGACTTGCGCTCCTCGCAGGGGACATGCAAAACCTGTTGATCAAAAGCAGTAGTGTAAGTATTTGATTAAGATGAATGCACAACCAACTATGAAAATAAAACCTAATAGTTTAGTTAACGCTTGGTACGTAAAACTTAAAACACTCTGTCCAATCTTACCTGCGTCTTCTGGGAGCTCGTCACACGGGCCAAAGTCGAGCTAGATGCTCCGGATTGCGACGGCGCCGAGGTGTTTGCCGGCAGAGCCGGGAACAGGTCGTCGTAGCTGAAGGCGGGAGTGGCATTGCCAGTGCCGCCGCTAGTGGTGCTAGTGGGCGTGGCCACCGAAGTGGGCGAGGATGGTTGCTGCTCGTTGGACACCTGCTCTTGGCCATTGATGAGGGCGATGGGTTGCTGCTCGATGGTAGTTGCTGCAGGATGATTTTGAATTAGTATTTGGCATTTTAAACTTCTTAATTCTAAAAACTCACCGTTGTTAGATTCCTCCATCACTGCTGCTGCTGCTGCTTGCATTACTTAAAAAAAGAGAAGAGTCCTTTTTCGTTCCAAGTCGTTTACAGTACACTGAAAGTATAAAATCAGAGATATGTTATCAAATAGTGCCCAAAACTATTACACCATAGGGGACCCATGTTTATCAGCCGGCGATAAAGCCAGTGATTAGTCAGAAACTTTCTGGGGGGGAATTATTGGAATGTCGGTCGATCAATCAGTTTAGGAATTGGTTGAAGAGCATTGTTTTGGCAAACACGGATTTCATACAGCCCGTTAAGCTTCAGTTTTCATCTCTTCCTGTTGTCAGTCGCCCACAGCCCTACCAAACTCACTGTGAGTTGATAAGTGCGACCCCTGAAGACCCGCATGTAGCTGCCACCCGCTGATAAGAAACTATGTACATAAATAGTGACTGCTTGGCTACAGTTAGCATATTAGAACAAAGATAATTCATTGGATATGCTGCGTGACTTTAAAACTATGCCGTATAGAATCTAAATTGGTATATGTTTAAACGATTCTAGAGAATTATTGTGTCTGAATGGAATCTATACTTTACAATCGATTTCAAGCAATTTAAAAAGAGAACTTCAAATCTTTCAAATCCATTTGTTTTATAAGTAATTCATCAAAGCACTTTTTAGCAGATGAACATGAAATTTCTTTCGGCTTCATTTTTTTTTAGATTGCTGGAGAGCAGAACCAATTTGAGAGACCTTATTTTGTGGGCCGCCACTGTAAACAGTGCGTGTCCAAAGGGGGTGCGTCAAATGGATTTTCTAGCGCTGATAAACCGAAATAGATTCAGTTTCTAGACGGACTTACTGCGCCAGAACACGAAACTAAGGCCACGTAGTGCCCGGATCGGCGAGATGAGTGCCCGGCTCGGCAGCTCCGCATTTCGCTGGTGATAAGTGGCCGCGGCAGTGGGCCACGCAGGCAGATTCCGGAGCAGAGTGATTTCTATCGGCCGAACTGGCTGATAAGACTCCGCCCGTACGATCGCCACCAAGATATCGAGGCTACCCACATACACGGTGCCAATAAGTGCAGGTCCAGAAACAAGCTGATATCAGCTGGATTTTGGCTGGGTGAAAGGTTGGGGACAGGCGAATAAGAGAGAGAGAGCTCAACGGAGAAAAGAAGGAGGGGAAGACCGTGCACTTGTTCGACCAAAGCTGTTTTCTAAACCAATGCCCAACGAGTTTCGTAGCCTACATTTTCCTCTCCACCGAAAGAACAACAAAGATATGGTTGTCTCTATTGCCAGTATCTTTGTATGAGTGCTCGTATCTGCCCAGAGGCGGAAGCAGGATTTTTATCAATGGGGATTTATATCTTTCAAATTTCACTAAGACTTGTTAAAGTGCTAACAAAACTTCTTCGCAAAATTTCTTTACCTTACTCATAAAAATATCAGATTAATGTTTGATAATTATATTAAATATCAGAGCCTTTCATATCAACAAAATTAAAAAAAAAAATAGTTTTGATACTTTATGATACTTTTTTTTCTAGTGGTATCCAAGTTTACGTTTATAAAGGGAAATGTTAGCCATTAGGAAAGGAGTTTCACATTTTAAGTCCCCTTCCGCCTACGCCCATGTGGGTGTGCATGAAAAATGTGTCAAAAGAAGAGACCACAGCGGGAGAGTGGCAGGGAGAGAGAGAGAGCTTGACGAGGTAACTTAACGGAGCAGGGGAGCAGCTCCATATAAAACCGGATGATAGCCGGCAACTACAACAAAACGATCGAGTATAGTATGGGTGTGTGTGTGCCTGCACATTTCTGTGTCGCTCTTTTTCTTCGGGCGTGCGGTTGTATGTGTGTTGGCACCTTTCGAGAAGGCACAGGTAAAAAACGAAAACAAGCAACATACCTACAAAGCAAATACCATCGCACATACATATGTACGTTCGTATCTGACGCCTGCAGCGACGCTGACGTCGACAAATGAAGACAAAGCACAAAAACAATGCGCTAAAGTTCAGCTTAAAAAATATACAAAATTGGTATGCACATATCGGATGGATTCTTGTTTTTGTAATTTCAATACAAAGATCCCAAAAAACGAAAAAGAAAAGCTCGACGTTGTCAGTTTTAAGCATGGAACCGTTAACTTGGGCGTATTTTTCCCCATTTTTGGCAAAACACTTGTATAAAATGTTAAACTATGCAAATTAACCCTAGGCGAAGGTTGTTCAACTTACGGTACTGTAAAATCCAAAAATCCGGCCTAGTTTACTCTCCTTTGACCAAATCCAGTTTGATAACTTGGGTGTCTGCTGGAAAAGCCGAAAAACAATTGGTTGGAATTAATACAATTAGCGGATGCAGATCGTAGGATGCCCTACGCTGCATTTCGTCGGTTATTCTGCATTCTGCACATCCCCAATAGAAAGTCTGTTTTTTTTTTTTTTTTTTTTTGCTTTATAGAGATGGAAAGGCTGAAGAGAGGGCAACATATGCGGGCCACTTATTGGACAATTGTTTTTGTGGCAGCGGCAAAGTGGAGCAGCGCGTGGGCGTGTGTATGTGTGTGTGAGAGAGTGTGTGCTAGTATGGAAATGCGGAAATCAGTGCCGTATGTTTGCCAGGTGAAAGGTTATGTGGATCCTCTTTTTCGGGACAGGGCGGGGCCTTCACTCCGCGCGCCACGGAAAGTAGGAGTTTAAAAAAAAAACAGCACGCGCGCCTTCCAATCGGACAAATATGCTTATATATGCACGCACACACATATCCACGGGTTTTTAAGGCCCCTTTGCGTGAATGTGTGCGTGGACGACGTCGCCGCCTATTGCGGGTGTGTGCGTAAACGCGAGTGCGCCGCCCGTGTGTATTATCAACCATTGAAAAACACGTTGTTTTTCACCGAGCGCACAAAAATGTAAGAAAAATTAGCGGCCCGAGTTTTTTTTCTTTTTTGCAGCAGTTGCTACTGCCGCTGCTTCTCCTTCTTTCTCTGCCGTCACCGCCCGGCCCTTCATAACTGTAAATCCGTGTGCACTCTCTTTCGCTCGCCGTAACTTATGCAATTCCGGGCGCATTAAAGCCGCCGCACGAATAGCCGGCCAAAGGCAGTTGCATTTCACACTGGAATCTGTTAAATTCACACCCAGACTTTCTATTGGAAGGCAGAACACACGGACGCGGATCTCAACGTTACCGACTCCAAGTAAAATTGAATGAACATGAGCGAACGTGGCAAATAGAGATGGACGATAGTCGGCAGCGGGTGCAGAGCTGTCGATGTCTGCAAGGCGCGGGCGAGCTGTCAAACGAACTATCGGTGGTGAAGCGCAATACCGTTGCCGGCTTTTGGGGATAAGCAAAATGCACTGAATTGGTTTAACGAAATGAATGTAAAAACTAAACTAACTACTCGAATAGTGTAAGTTCAGTAACATGTATTTCAGGCACATTAACTACAATGAAACAGTAGTGAAAAAAAATAAAATTTCAAAAACTACAAAGAAATTTAAGTGCTTAAATTTGTATAAAATTGGTTCAAAATATATAGCTTTGCAGCTTATTTGAAAGTCAAAATATTTTGTTGCTCTGATAATCAAATACTATTCGATTAATTTAACGTTCATCAGCGATTATCGCGAACAGCTATCGATAGTCAGTGCCATCCTTGGCCTGCCATCACCAAATCGAAAAGAATCACAAAGGCAGAAAACTCCCCAATCTGTGGAATTTCCGGAGGAGAGAGCACAACCATCGCATCGAGTTATCAGCAAACAGCATGTCGAAGCTCAGGAACCTGTTGCCCACAATCTTTGGCGGGAAGGAGGCGCAAAGTCCGCCCGACGAAGGACGCCTGGAAAAAGATGCAGCGCCCGTGGACGACAGCGAGGCAGATAACAACAACAGCGGAGCCCTAGCGCTGCCCGCCTCCATTGGCACGCCCACTGCCTCCGCGGATCTCACCGAATCCGTGCTGCGTGAGCTCAGCGATCCCAACTACAACTCCATGGACGTAGTCCAATCCGCCAATATCCCGGGCACCGTAAGCAATGCCCAGACGAACAACACAATGAACGTGCACAGCGCCCAGCAACAGGTGGTCATGAACTTCTCGAATGCCAGCAACCTGCACTTTGGCTCCGTCTACAACATCAACCAGAACCTAAGCGCCAGCAGTTCGCGCAAGGGCAGCACCAGTGCCACGGAGGAGGCGGTCGCCCAGCCGGAGGGCAAGCAGCGGTCCACTGCCGCCCGCAAAACAGTCAGCATTGTAACCATGATGCAGTCACAGGAGGAACCGGACGTTCGTCTCCTGGATGTGGTCTCCACCCACTTGGGCGAGGGTTGGAAGCAGGTGATGCGGGACCTGGGTCAGTCGGAGGGTCAGATCGACCAGGCCATAATCGACCACCAAATGCACGGCAACATAAGAGAGGTGAGTTTTACCAACTGGAAATTGATCTAATTGAACTCTAAATATATTTGTCTTTCAAAAAAAAATTCTCTATCGTAGAAACCCATTGAAAACCCAAGAGTAGCCGTTACTCAAGATCTTAGATTGGAAGCATGAGTTAAGTCAGCTTTTCTTAGTGTATTTGCAGATCTTGTGACGCATCAGTCTAATTTGAATTTCCAGCTTTTATGACTCAAATTCCTCTCAATTGCCTTTGTTTATAAATTATAAAGCGCCGGTCCCAAAAATTCAGATATAATCTGAAAGTGAAATTTAAACTGGGGTACAGCATTATTGCATGCTAAATATCTTTAAAATAGTAAACATTTTAAATTAACTTACATTATTCACAGTTAAGGTATTTATATAATTCTGGAATTCCCTTATCCTGAGTTTGCTTTCATTAAATATATGGTTACTTGTATGGATCAGATTAGATTGCAGGTTGGAAGATACGAAAATTACATTTACGTTTTACTTTGATGAGCTTTGATAAACGTCAAATGAAAACAGTTATAGGTATTTAGGACAATCGAATTTTCCTATGTCCCGCAACCCACGTTCCCCGTGTTCAATTAGAAAAATTACAAAATGTATGACTAAAATCAGTAAATTAACACTCTTCTTAATTCTTCAGGTGATTTACCAGCTGTTGCTCCAGTGGGTTCGCAGCTCGGAGAACGGTGTGGCAACTGTGGGACGACTCACGACACTGCTGTGGGAGTCCCAGCATCGCGATTGCGTGCAGCGCATGAAACTGGTTTGGAAAGCACTGGAAAAGCGCAAGACCAACAGCTAGCCAGTGAAAGGGATTCAAGAATACCGATGCCAGAACGAAAACGATGCATTTGGATGTCCAAACCTGTGGGAGGATGGAGACTGGCAAGGCTAGCTCATCTCCAAAGTCTGCAAGATGCAAAGACCTGCCCTGGACGACCATCCGGCGATATGTGTGCAATATTTGATTTATTAATCCAACCCTTCGAATAAGTGCCTAGATGTTTGCATTAACTATACTTACACCAGTTTTATCTTTAAGATGTGATATTTGTGTCAAAAAGGGAACCAGCACTTGAAGTTAGCATTTCAAAATATTTTTGTAAAGTGTATACAAATAGAAGCTTTATTGTTACGTTACCGGAGGCAATCTCATTTCTAACCTTTAAGCTCGAGTACAAAGTCACACAATCTTCGTGATCTTCGAGCTGAACATGTCAATCAACATCTGTGCGCCGTTGCCGTTAAGCGATTGATAGTTTGGCTGACTAGCCATCCTGTCCAGCCATGCGCTTAACTTGGGATAGCGCTTGGCATCGATGGAGGCCAAACCCACCAGGCTGCTCACCGAGGAGACCATACTGTAGTCGGCAATGGTTATGCCCGTTCCGCAGAGGTACGGCTGATTGCCGATGAACAACTCCAGGAAGTCATAGGCCTCGTAGATGGCATCAATCTTGAAGCGCGGCACCTCCGTCTCGTTTTTGTAGAACAATGGAGCAGCAATATTCCGGATGCAACCCTGGAACAGCACGCCCGACTCAAAGTGCAGGCGCTGATCCACAAGTGCACGCTTGAAGTAATCCTTGGGATACAAGGCATCATCCTTGGCATAACGCCTCACTAGATAGGCGCAAATGGCATGGCTCTCCCAAATGCACTTGCCATCGTCCTCCAGCATGGGCACCGTGTGCTGCGGATTCTTCAGTGTGTACTCCTTGGTCCTATGCTCCCCGGCCAGCAGATTCACCAGCTTGTACTCGTACTGCAGACCCAGGGCGTCCAGGGTCAGTTTGCAGGCTCGCACCGGCGGACTGGCCTCTACACCATATAGTACTAATTTTCCCATAGTTTTCAGCTAACCGCTCGCTCCGGGTGTCGATTTGAAACTAAACAAGCTTCGTCGTCTATCGCTATTCACGATCGAGCAACAAGCGATTCAATTAATTCCATATATTACCGCACCTTACTTAGCTATACAATTCTTTTTCAGTCATGCAAGGCAAGATAATAAGGGTCTCCGCCTGATTGACAGTAATTATTCGAATCAAATATATTTGTTATATTTAATACAGATCTGCTTTTTCGTAAGACCTATCTGCTGTCACTATTTTCAGACAAGATAACTGATATTGATATCGATTGCTTTAAATGTGGCCCCCAACAATTTTTCAGGTGTTTTGGTTTTTACTGCATGCCTTATCATATCTTTTTTTTATTCGTCATCACAGTTAAGTTGAAAATTCGTAAAGCAGGTTCGATTAGGTGTGCAGACTAAGTGGGTGTTTTAAAGATTTTAAGACTTGTTTGAAAATCTTTAAATAGACATTTTTGTATACTAAATACATGATTACATGTTGTCAATTCAAATCAAAAATTTTGTATGTAACAAAAGTTATAAATTAAATCTTAGCAAATTGCTGAATTTTTTGGTATACCCTTTAAGGTTTTTCAATAACTATATTATTTTTGATAGTTTTCTTTTTGAATAGATAATTGTTATCAATAAAATGGGCTATTTTAGGGAGGTTAAAAATTAAACGAGTACTTACATTTAATTTTTTGTTAATGCTTATTTATGTTTGTATACTAAATACTAAGAGAACTTGAGAGAAATATTTCTGAAATTAAATTAAATTGGAAAACACAAAATTACCTGCACTTGGAACGACAAATGTAAACATAACATTTTTACCCCCAAATATCTCCCACAACCAATACATACAAAATTAAATTTTTCATATTCTTATTAAAAGTAGTAATTTGTTCATAATAAATAAGTTCATTTACTGGGATGCAAAGGTAAAATTAGTCTTCTTGATGAAGGACGCGAAGGTACGGACCCCTTTGCCGTTGGCCTCCTCGTAGTAAGGAAGCTGTTGCAGTCGCTTAATCCAGGCACTGACCTTGGGGTACTTCGCCGTGTCCACCTGCACAAAGGCCTCCAGCGAGGTCACCGTTGAGATAATACTAAAGTCGGCAATGGTCAGCTGACTGCTGGCAATGTAATCGTTGCCGGCAAGAAAGGTCTCCAGGAAATCGTAGATCTCAATAATAGCATCGTATCGCTCCTTGGGAATGTTAGTCAGGCCGTTGCGAAAAAGTGGAAACGTGATGCTCCTCAATCCGTTTGCAAATACCACTCCGGACTCAAAGTGCAGCCGCTGATCCACCACAGCTCGCTGGAGGAGATCCTTTGGATAGAGACTATCGTTCTTGCCGTATTTGGACACCAGATAGGCAATGATGGCATGCGAGTCCCAGATGAAGTGACCATCGTCCTCCAAAGTGGGCACCGTGTGCTGTGGATTCTTCTTCAGGAACTCCTCCGATAAGTTCTCCTTGGCCAAAGTATTCACTTCCACGAATTCGTAGGGCACTTCCAGGGCGGCCAAAGTCAATTTGACGGCACGAACTGGCGGACTGGCCTCCAAGCCGTACAGAATCAACTTGGTCATCTTGTCGCTGTGGGTTGCCTTCCACCACTGATCATTCAGAACAAACCTCACTATATTTATAGAGTTTTGGAAGAGAATGATAAAGAGAGGAATTTTAAAAAGAGCAAAAGATAAGAAAGCTTGGCTTCTCTTCTATTGCTTTTTTTATTTGCTTATAAGTCAATTTATTTCACCATAATAAATACTTTTTGAGCACTCTAAATGTAAATACTCAAGAACATTCTATAAACTTGTTCATTTTTCAATTTTTTTTAAGTTAAACCTCAAAATAAATAATAGTAAAAATAATAAAATAAGTCGCATATTTCTCACTGCATTGCAAACTTCTGACTGAAATTATAATACCCTCTGCCAAAAAAGGTAGTTAGATAAAGCCTTGCCTCAATAAAAAATCTTTAGTTTAATAACCCATCATTTATTTTAAAGTTTTCAAATTACATAGTGTACATATCAGGTTTCGAAGGTGAAATTGGTCTGCTTGACAATGGCCACCAACTGTCGGGCACCCTTTCCGTTGGCTTCCTCGTAGTAGGGCAGCTGTTCCAGCCTTTTAATCCAGCCGCTGATCCTCGGATACTTGACCACATCCAAGTCCCCAAAAGCCTCCAGAGACGCCACTGATGAGACGAGGCTGAAATCAGCAATGGTCATCTGATTGCCAGCGATGTAATCCTGTTCCTTGAGGAAAGTCTCAACAAAGTCATAGATCTCGACGATGGCATCGTAACGTTCTTTGGGAATTTTACTCTGTCCCAAAAAGAGCACGGGCTTGATAATGCTTCTGATTCCATTGACAAAGACCACACCGGATTCAAAGTGCATCCGCTGATCCACCACAGCTCGCTGGAGGAGATCTTTGGGGTACAGGGAATCAGTATCCGCGTACTTGGACACCAGATACGCAATGATTGCGTGCGAGTCCCAGATGAAGTGACCATCATCCTCCAGTGTGGGCACCGTGTGCTGCGGGTTCTTCTCCAGGTAGGCCGATGATAGTTGCTCACGAGCCACAATGTTAACGTTTACATATTCGTAGGGCAGGTTTAGAGCGGCCAAAGTGAGTTTTACGGCACGAACTGGCGGACTGGCATCCAAACCGTACAAAGTCAATTTTACCATCTTGTCGCCTTGGGGTCTATTTCACTACTGATCGATGAGAGCAGCAAGTAAGTATTTTATTATTTGGACTACGGGCCACTGAAAGAGATAGTTTAAGAGAGATTTGTTCATTGGCACAGATTATACCTGCCTAGTTTAAATTATGTGTGTATATTTTCACATGAAAATAATTATATAGTATACCTGCCTAGTTAATATCAGTCGGATATACTGTAATGTGTGTTGGGTGTTAATGATTTTAAAATACAAATTTTAGGGCAAAGGTTTTGGTATTTTAGTACTTTTATCTTTATCCCTAAAATCTCAATAATTAAAACTAATCGGGCTTATCAAAATGTGGAACAAACATTTACGAGAACATCAGTTATGAATTATATAAATAATATAATGATAAGCTTATCAGTTTTGTTTTTCACAATAGTAATTAAACAGAGAAACTCCGCAAATGGATGAGTAATTACAAGTCATGCTGACAAAGGTAATAAAATGGAAAGAATTCGAAAAATGTTTGACGTCCGGCAAAAAATTATAAATTTATATGTATGTATGTGTTTCTATTGTAATCGTGTAATACACTCTCTTTAAGATAAAATTTAAAATTCCGTTTCAAGAGAAGCACTCTCTTAGACATATTTTTATTTTATTTTTTAAATCTACTTATCATTGAATTTTATACAAAATGACAATCCTATTAAGATGAAAAATTTTAAAATTTTCAAATTATTAATTTTTTAAATGAAAATTTTTTATTTTCAATTTATTTTCTTGTTTCCTCTAAACTTCAAACATCATAAACTTAGGTTTCAAAGCTAAAATCGGTTGCCTTTATTAGAGTCACAAATTCCCGAGCACCCTGGCCATTGGCCTCCTCGTAATAAGGCAGGTGTTCCGTTTGTTTGATCCATTCAGACGACCTGGAGTATTTAACCGAATCGATCTCCACAAACGCCACCAGTGAGGCGAATAAAGTGCAGCACTCAGCAAAAATTATGCAATCATCTGTTGATAAGTTCGTCGAACCCTTATCAAAATTGTTAAAAAGCTTTATATCAAAACAAGCCACATTTGAGTCATACAGATAACATGAGTTATTGATAAACACCTTATCAAGTTTTTTTGCCATACAACAAGTAAACAAGCATAAACAATTGAATAAGACATTGAAAGTCATGCTCTTTTTTATTTTAAGTCATTGCATCTGGTTGCTGACCGGCAATATCAAGTATATATATTCTGATTTTCAATTAAGATGTCAATTAAGATGGCGGCATTAAATTATAAATAATCCTTTTGCTGTTTAAACAACATTTTTAAGGGAGTGCTTGAATCTATTTATTTGGTAAATTTGAGGACACAAAACTTAGAAGGTAATGAAGATCAGAAGTTTGTATAATTTAAATATTTAAAATAGGATAATATCTGTGTAGAGATAAAGTGTGTAGGTCATCAAAACGATTTGTGTTTTATGTTCAAGTGTTTGAATGCAACGAAGAGAACTAAACATTTAAAGGAAGTGTTGCTTGATGATGTAAGATTTGTTGGTTTTCCAATTTCTTTTTTTTTTCTGACACTTTTCCTTAGGGTACGATAGTAAAGTTCTTGGACCTCAAGAGTTCCACATACTGGGCGGCTCCACTGCCATTGGCCTCCTCATAGTAGGGCAGCTCCTTGAGCCTGTCCAGCCAGGCGGCAATCCTGGGATACTTGGCCACGTCTAGTTCCATGAAAACTCCAATCGAGGTGATGGTCGACACAATGCTGAAGTCGGCTATGGTGAGTTGGTCGCCGGCCAAGTAATCATGGTCATCGAGAAAGGTCTCCACAAAGTTATAGACTTGGATGATGTGATCCACTTGATTCCGGGGCAAAGTTGATTCGCCGTTAAAGAGAATCGGTCGGGTGAGTCTCCTCAGCGCGGCTTCGAAGACAACGCCCGACTCAAAGTGCAGCAGTTGATCCACCTTGGCCCGCTGCAGCAGATCCTTGGGATACAGCTCATCGCTGGCTGCATATCTATCCACCAGATAGGCCATGATGGCATGGGAATCCCAGATGCAAGCCTCATCGTCTTGCAACAGCGGCACCGTGTGTTGGGGATTCTTCTTCGAGAACTCCTCACTGTAGTTCGCCTTCTCGAACAGATTGACAAAGATGTACTCGAAGGGAAGGTCCAGTGCCTTTAGAGTGAGCAGACATGCCCGGGTGGGTGGACTTGCGTCCAGGCCGTACAGCGATATCTTACCCATTCTACAGCGGATTCACAAGTGAGTGATGACTGCTGTTCGAGGACTGCTTTATAGCCACCTGCAGGACATGGGAATCGTCAATCTGGCTGCGATTTTTTAATTACCTTAGACCTCGCCACCCACAATTTTCTGCCGAACCCTGTGCTCACTAATCCACGCACCCTGAGAACCAATTATTTTATATACAATTAATTTAATACATGGTACTTATAGTTGCGGTCAAAATAAAAATTTAGAAGCAATCTCGTAAACTAAATGGGCTATAAATTAATTAAAAAAAAACAAGCTCAGATTTTAAAAACAATTTTTGTTGAACGACGATTTTGGGTTATATTCTTAAATTGTTAAAACATCATTTCCTAGAGTGTACTGAATTATTAACAGTTTTAAATTTTCTTTAAAAACATAGCAATAGGTTTTTTGGGTTTTTAGTCTTATTTTTGGTTAAATCAAAAGAAAAGTTACCCTTACCTTAAAATTATTATTTTGACCGCAGCAGTATGTATTTAGAGAATAGAGTGGAAAAATAGAGTGGAATTCTCAAATAACTAATTGGAATAAAAACGGGCCAAAACAGAAAAACTTTGAATAGTTTAAAAGTTTTGTTTAGTTCCTGAAAGATTTAAACATAAAAAACCTACAAAAATTGGACTTAACTATTTGAATGTGTATGAAAGCAAGTACAATTTCGTTATGAATTCTTTATGCAGTTTATTTGACGCCGTCCCACTTTTTTGGCGGTATTGTCGAACGTTTTCCATCAACTTGTTTTAATTGGCTGAGAATTAAAAATTGATGAGGCCACGCACTTCGGTGATTGTGGGAACCCATGTTTACAGAAGTGTCAGCTGGTCTTTCAGCAAGTCCACGTACTTCTTGGCCCCCACACCATTGGCCTCCTCGTAGTAGGGCAGTTCCTGCTGGAGGCGCTCCAGCCAGGCAGTGACCTTCGGATACTTCTCCGCCTCCAGTGGGACAAAGGCCGGCAGGGATGAGGCTGTGGCGGCACAGCATAGATCCGCCACGGTCAGGTTATCGCCGGCAATGTAGGGATTATCGGCCAGAAAGGTCTCCAGATGGGCATAACCATCGCGCACATTGTCGGCCTTCTCCCGCGAAATCTCCGTGACATTGTTGTAGAAATACGGAGCACAGATATTACGCAGCGCCATGAACAGGACACTGGCATCGAAGTACAGAAGTTGATCCACCTGGGCACGCTTCACCAAATCCTTGGGATAGAGTTCGTCCGTCTGGGCATACTTGCCCACCAGGTAGCAAACGATGGCATGTGAGTCCCAGATGAGGGCTCCATTATCATCCAGCAGCGGAATGGTGTGCTGCGGATTCTTCTCGAGGAACTCCTCCTTGCGATGCTCTCCGGCCAGCAGATCCACCACCTTGAACTCGTACTCCAAGTCCAGGGCCCGCAGAGTCAGCTGGCAGGACCTCACTGGCGGACTAATGTCCATTCCGTACAGCACAATTCCAGACATGATCCAAGCTCAATCAGTTAAATCAGCGAAATGATATTGGCTCTAGGGTTTTCCTGACTATTTATACGTTTTTAGGGCTTCCAAAGGGTGCATTTCAAGTGCAGCCCACGCCACTTCCAAAGAACTTGAAAAGCGATCCTGGGTGGAGCCACACAGTCCAAAGTACTTTCATATTCCGCGTAGCGTCTACTATTGCTTTTATGCACATGAAAAGCTATTGGAGTATGTGTAATTTTGCAGTAACAAACGCAAAGTTATTGTAAATATATCATTTTTATGGGCCTCACATCTCAAGTTCACTTTGCAGCTGAGTGAACAATCAAGAAAACTTACTTCATTTAATCATTCCTTTCAAATTAGATACATTTTTAAGCTTATATGTACGTTAAAAAAAAACACTTAAGTTAACAAATTTTTAACAAATTATTATAATTTATATGGATCCTTTATCCATTGCAACGTAGTTAGGCAAAAAAACTTTTAAAATGGGAAAGTTGATTATAGAAATAAACCAACATATATATATATTATATTATGTAGGACCTGCTAAGTCATAATTGCCTTTCAGAATATAACTAATTTTTAGCTCTTATATAAGTGCAGATCTTTGGAATCCATTCCATCCGCCTTGTCATATTTTTGTCGCCATATCGTATATATAGAAACCATCTTCCAAAGACAGAATAATCTTAAGAAATTTCGGACTTTCATTCCCTTTTTCCTAATTGTTACTTGGTTTTCCTTCTCATAAACTTAAGTTTTTGTGGACGGAGAGCTCTCTTAAGCCAATTCGATGACATCAGTTATTATTTTTTCCCCTCTTCGGACAAACAAACAGGTGGTTGGGGCAATTGACGTAAGAGAGTTTTAATGAAGTCTATTTTTATGTGGACTTTAAAAAGCTCTTATCTCCTACTCTTCGCACGTTTTTGTATACATGGGTTATTTATACGGTTTTGATTTTACTTTGTTCCGGTAATTACTAAAGCCAAAAAGAGAAAAGTACAAAAAAATCGATTGAAGTATTTAACTGAATCATGTTAGTCATTTTTAAAACAAAAAACTGTTAACAGAGTAGGAAACTAATAAAGTGAAGATCGTGTTATCAATATTCAATATTTGTTGTGTTTAATATTTATAAGGATTTCATTTGAGTAAGCAGAAAACATTAAACAATTTTTTTTGTAAATGTATATTTCAAGACCAAATTCAAGAATAAAAAACTTTAAACTTTAAGCTATTTCCGCCTTAAGAATTAAACTACCTAACTTATCGATCCTAATAGATGATATTTTATATTCTTTTAACTATAATGACATAATTCTTTAACCAGAAAGTTTTCATGTTACAAGTTTATCTTGTTTGTCCCCTTTTCAAAGTTTAGTAACAGATTAGCCATTTGAAAAATGTTTACTTTACGTGACCAATAGTTTCTCTTATCGATTGCCTCAAAACGAGTTTCGACTGATAGCAAAGCAAAGTTTCGTCGTTCAAAAGTCAAGTGGTTAGAGTATTATTTTTAAATATTTATTTTTGAATATATTAAATGGTTTCTAGACAATAGTAAAATTTTTGCTCTTGATGAAATCGATGATTTGGGCAGACCGTGAGCCGTTGGCCTCCTCGTAGTAGGGCAGTGCCTTGATGCGCTGAACCCAGGCAGCCAGTTTGGGATACTTGGCGGCATCCACGGGCAGGAAAACCACGAATCCGGTTATGGCGGCGGTCACGTGGAAATCGGCAATAGTTAAACTATTGCCAGCCAGGTAGTCGCCGCTCTCCAGGAACAAATTAAGGGATTTGTACACACCCTCCAGGGCATCGATCCTGGCCTGCGGAATTGCCGAGTTGTTCTCCCAGAAAAGCGGATAGGTGATAGCTCTGCCCGTTGATGTGACCACACTGGAATCGTAGTGCAGGCGCTGATCGACGATGGCTCGCTTCTTCAGATCCTTTGGATACAGGGAATCGTCCTTGCCGTACTTGCTCACCAAATAGGAGTTGATGGCGTGGCTGTCGGACAAGTAGAAACCATCGTCATCCAGAGTGGGCACGGTGTGCAGAGGATTGATCTTCAGGAACTCCGGCTTCAGGTGCTCCTTCTCCAGCAGATTGACGACCTTGTACTCGAATTCCACACCCAAGGCGTTCAGGGTGAGTAGCACCGAGCGGACTGGAGGACTTCCATCGATTCCGTAAAGCGTAAGTTTTCCCATGTTGTCTCTGTTTCGTGACTATCAAGTTACTGTTTATAAACACTCCCAACTTGGGGATTTATATAGCCCATGGCTGGTTCTCTTCAATTAAGAGAGCTTTGCACTGCTGTGATGACTCCGCGGTTTTACTTGCACATTGGATTCGAAACCCACATGTCTCTTAGCCCCTTATGTATATCGCTGATTTCCCCCAAGTATTTCACTATACTCTCTTGACGTAGAAAAGCTTTATAATTAAAAATACCGAGTCATTTCTATTTGTCTACCCATCTTCTTGGGATTCCATAACCCTTTTAATAATAACTGGGCGCTTTGAGGCTAAATACTTGTTTATCGAGCGACAATATTTCCTTAAACACAATGGTATATAAATATGCCAACTATAGAGACAATAATATGTTCAAAGCAAACATTTTTCCTATTAGGCTTCTTTATTGTATTGTAAGCAAATGGTTGCAAACTTAAGAGAACTTTCTAGAAAACAAATTAGATAATAAAATAAAATAAAATCAAATAATTGCCAAAATTTGACAGCTTATTGGTATAAGTTTTAGTTTTTAAATTTTACAGGATTGTAAAGTTCTTGCTTTGAAGTGACATCCTTAAAAAAAATTATCCTAATATATTTTTTAGTGTGGATAACATTCCCAGCATAAAGAGATGATATTTAAAAATTTTTTGTCATTTATTTAAAAAGTAAACCAATACTATTGCTGTAATATTAAACCAGGTCTAAGCATAGTTATGTATTTTTCCAAGCCCCAAAGATTGTCCTCTTCGTAATGGGGCAAGCTGGATAGGCGGTCTAGCCAACCAGCCACTTTGGGATACTTTTCTTGATCCAGTTCGAGTACAGCGGCCAATGAGGATGCAGTTGCTCCACAGCAGATGTCAGCCACGGTTAGGATGGACCCAGTTAGATAGGGATTATCGCCCAGAAAGGTCTCCAGATGGCCGTAGGCATCCTTGATATTGTTCACCTTCTCTTTGGGCACCTCGCTTACTTGGTTAATAAAATAGGGTATACTGACATTCCGCAGGGACATGAACAGTATACTGGCATCGAAGAACAAGCGCTGATCTACCTGAGCCCGCTTCACCAGATCCCTGGGATAGAGCTCATCCGATGTGGCGTACTTGTCCACCAGGTAGCAAACGATGGCATGTGAATCCCAGATGAAGGCTCCATTATCATCCAGAAGCGGCACCGTGTGTTGGGGGTTTTTCTTAAGGAACTCTTCATTTAAATGTTCTCCGGCCAGGAGATCCACTTCCTTGTAATCATAGTCCAGGTTCAGGGCTCTCAAGGTCAGTTTACAAGCTCGGACTGGCGGACTGATATCCATTCCATACAATACTATTCCCGACATGATGCGACCACAAAGAACACTCAAGTTATACTGAATCACCAGAATAACCCACATACATAATTCTAAATGAACTTAAATAAACAGGCAATTGGTTGCGCTGAGTTAGCCCCTTTCCTCTTTTTAATAAACTGCTGTTTTTACACTGATAAAATAAAATATAACATAGTAAAGAGTTTTAGCAACAGTTATCATTAAAATTAATGTAGACGTTTTTTTTCAAATTTACCTATATTTTACTCTTCAATACAAGATGGAATAATCTCACAAATATATATGAAAACATTAAATTTAAATATAAACTTTTAACTTAATAGATATACGCCCAAAGAGTTATGATCAAATTTAAACTCTGTAAAATTTTACTCTATATGGAAAATATATTTCCATTTGCAGATATTTTTCCTCAACCTTCTAAATAAATAAGTTAAAAAGCAATAATCAAAATTAAAAATCTAAAATCCAGTTTGAAGGCAAAACGCTTTAGTTTTATTGATAACAAATAAAATTTAAAGAATGTTTGCAATGTACAAAGTGTGTATGAATCTTAAATAAATTGTATTATTTATGTTTTTGATGTTGGTTAAGTCTTCAGTTGATGGCTTACTTATCCCCCAGCTTAGTCCACTTGCTGCGAAGCAATGCGATGTACGCCTGAACCGGAGCCTCGTCGATCTCCTTGTAGTATGGGATCTGGTAAAGTCGTTCCAGCCAAGCGGTGATCTTGGGATATACGGCCGGTTCGATGTCGACGGCGGCACGCAGACCAGTAACCGTAGGTCCAGTGAGCAGGTCAGCCAGGGTCAGTGAATCGCCCACTAGATATGGACTACTGACCAGGAAAGTCTCCAGCAGTGCCAGACCGCGATGTACAGTGTCCAGTTTCTCCTGGGACACTTCGGTTACGCCTCTGCTCCAGAAGGGGGCCACTATGTTGTGCAGGCCCGGAAAGATTACGCTGGCATCGAAGTACAGACGCTGATCGATAATCGCCCGCTTGACCAGATCTTTGGAATACAGCTCGTCCGACTTGCCGTACTTGTCCACCAAATAGGTGGCGATGGCATGGGAGTCCCAGAGGAATGTCCCATTGTCATCCAGTACCGGCACCGTGTGCTGTGGATTCTTCTTCAGGAACTCCTCGCTCAGGTGCTCGCCCGTCTGAAGATTTACCTCCTTGTATTCGTAGTCCACATTAAGGGCCTTCAGGGTCAACTTGACGGCCCGAACACAAGGACTGAAGTCAGTTCCGTATAGTACAATACCCGTGCTCGACATATTCTATAGTTCAACCGACAACGCTTCTCTTATGACTGATATTTCCATTATTTACCTTAGATTTATACTCATCTGAAAAGCTTTTTGCTGAATCTGAAAGCATTTCGCTCAAAGCTCTATTTCTGTTGTTTGTTTGTTTCTACTCCAAAATTTTGTTAAACATTATATTATATATAATTTCTTTGTATTTCACCACCAGCAAAGATTGATTGAAATTGATTTTAAGATCTGGTATGACTTTGCATTATTTTTTTTGTTGTTAAAATGATAGTAAGTAATATCTCTGCAACTAAAAGAACTGTTTACATGCACATAAGTAAGTAGTTATTCCAAAATTTGCGAGTCATGCTTATTTTTATAAATGCGTAGAGCGACATAGTCATATTTGTAACTAGGTTAAAGCTTGTTATTTATGTATATTCAATATGCCTTCAATTTAGGTCGCCCCCTAAAACATTTGCTTCGCCAACGATAAGAACTTGAATTCAAAAAATACTCTTCATTTTTTCTACGTCCGATTAGCAGTGACTAAGTTATCAAAATTTTAGGGCTTACAATTTAAAAACCTTCAAGAGCCACTCTGGTTTTAAAACTTTATATTTATTATTAAAAGTTTTTAATGTGTGTACATTTTTACAACAGAGTACAAAACCCCAGTTTATAAAGAGATGCTTCTACACAACGACTATTCTTCTCTTGCTTCCAAGAGCTTCGTTTTTTAAATGAACAAATTGGGTATTTTTGTTGTATTTATTGTAAGTCATTTTATTTATGTGAATATGTACTACATATTCGAGTAGGTAGTACAAATACCAATAAGTCAGATCGATAATAGTAATTCAAGCTCTCTTTTCTTACACAAAAACCTTCTTCTTCATAAAATCTTATCAAGTTATCAATAAATGTTGGTTCTTTGGTAATATTTTTATTATAAAACATATTTTTAATCTGATTTATCGGTTTTTTACAAATGAAACAAAGTTCGTGTTTCTGTTTGGCGGGTTGTTCGTTGGTGTATGGTTTACTTATCCCCCAGCTTGGTCCACTGGCTGCGAAGAAAGGTGACGTAAGTGTGAGCTGGAGCCTCGTTGATCTCCTTGTAGTGGGAAATCTTATCGAGCCGCTCCAGCCAGGCGGTGACCTTCGGATAGACTGCCGGATCGATGTCGACGGCAGCGGGTAGGGAGCTGACAGTGGGACCAGTGCACAGGTCGGCGAGGGTCAACGAATCACCCGCCAGATACGGACTGCTGACCAGGAACGTCTCCAGCAGCGCCAGACCCCGGTGTATGGTGTCCAGCTTCTCCTGCGGCACATCTTTAATCCCACTTCGCCAGAAGGCGCCGCTTACGTTGGCTAAGCTTGCAAAAATAACGCTGGCGTCGAAGAACAGGCGTTGGTTGATGATCGCCCGCTTCACCAGATCTTTGGGATATAGCTCATCCGACTTGCCGTACTTGTCCACCAAATAGGTGGCGATGGCATGGGAGTCCCAGAGGAACGTCCCATTGTCATCCAGTACCGGCACCGTGTGCTGTGGATTCTTTTTCAGGAACTCCTCCTTCAGGTGCTCGCCCGTCTGGAGATTCACCTCCTTGTATTCGTAGTCCAAGTTCAGGACCTTTAGGGTCAACTTGACGGCCCGAACACACGGACTGAGATCCACCCCGTACAGAACGATACCCGTGCTCGACATATTGTGTTGTTTATGCACAAATGGTTTTATTACTACTGATCTTCTGCCGGTTTACTATATACTGTTTTGTCTAAAGCTTTTTGCTGAATGTAAAAGCTCTGACTTTGTTGTTTGTTTGCTGAATTTTACGATAAACAGGGCTTTGTTGATATTTGTATACCCTTTCGGAGGGTAATATGAATTCACTTTTTTTAGACAGCATTCTAATCTTAAGTTACCCCTTGTGTTTTGAAACCAGAAGGGTATTGTTTCAGTAGGAAACATGGTCATCTAAGGCTGTCCTTCTAAATGCGCTTCTAACATGTTTCCAATACCCGCTAGGTATTTGAGTCGAGCTTATATTTGCCAAGAACAAATAGAAAAATTACTTTAAAATGGACATACCTATAAATTTGCTTTTTAATTTTAGACTATTTATTTGTATTTGTATTTGTATTTGTATTTGTATTTGTATTTATTAAAATGGTTGCATTTTATTAAAATGGTGAAATTTGTAATATTCTAGTAGATAGAAGAAGCTTTAAGAAACCAAGAAAATTACCAATCAAGATAGTACGTCAAATTAAGACTCTTTCAATTCATTTTCATTTTAAAACATTTTTGTGTTGAGGTATTCTATTGATAAGGAAATATTTTATGTTCTATGGGTGTATTACAAATACTAACAAACCGGAAATTATCTACACCAATTTATACTCGTGTAGAGCCCATGTAGATTTGCCATTGAAATTTACATAACTGAGCTTAAAAGTTCTTTAAAGCGAAAGCAAAGCTTTAAAAAACCCAAGTTCTTACTATTAATAAACTGAACACCATATACTTTCTCAAATTTTACTCAATTCAACTTAAGTGTTTACTTCAACAATTGTTTTAATGGGTTGATTGCACTGTTTTTACAAAAAATATTTTAAAACCTTTTTTTTTTTAATTATTAAATAAGGCATAACATCGATAATAACAGTTTTAGAGTGTAAAGCTTAAATACTTAAATAATTTTAATTGATTTATACACCAAAAAAGTTATAGACACCTTGATTTTCCACCCCTGATCACATAAGTCATGGAGACGTTGGCCAAATGTTGACGCAGCTATAGATATCAGACCGACTTATCTCGGGAATTAATAAACAATCAGGCAAAAACTTAGACTTGCAGCATTATGACGTCTTTGTGATAATAATCAAGCAACTAAGTTTTAGTATCTAATCTAATCGAGGGTGAAGTTTCAAATCATTTTGGTTGCCTCGAGTCAGTTGTGGATGGCACATTGTCTGCTACGAATCTCAAAGTTAACCAACCAAAAGGCAAAGGCGTCAAGAAGGCAAGATGGTTAAAATATCTGTACTTGGCGTTGAGACCAGTCCGCCGTTTCGGGCCATTTTGTTGACCCTTCGAGCCCTCCAGCTGGAGCACGAGATTCGGCCACTGTTCATGCCGGCCGAGTATGTTGACAAACCGGAAATGGTGTTAAAGGATGATCAGGAGCTCATCTGCGATTCGCCTGCCATTATCGGCTATCTGGTGAACAAGTATGCCCAGTCGGATGAGCTCTATCCCAAGGATCCGCTACAACGGGCAGTGGTGGATCAACGGTTGCACTTCGAGACCGGAGTCCTCTTCCACGGCATCTACAAACGATTGCAGAGGGCTCTCTTCAGAGACCATGCCACTGAGGTGCCCAAGGATCTATTGGCCGAATTGCGCGATGCCTACGGCTTGCTGGAGGAATTTCTGGCGGAGAATCCCTATTTGGCCGGTCCACGGTTGACCATCGCTGACTTTAGTATTGTGGCCACGGTGAGCACCCTGCACTTGAGCTACTGTCCCGTGGAGAGCGCAAAATACCCGAAGTTATCCGCCTGGTTGGAACGCCTTTCCCAATTGCCCTTCTATGAGGAGGCCAACTTGAGGGGAGCCCGCCTGGAGGCCGATTGCATCCGCGCAAAACTGCCCAAGCAGTTCGACAAACTGTGGCAAAAGGCCTTCGAGGACATCAAGAGCGGAGCCGGAAAAGTGTGACTCCTTTGGCTGGTAATAATGGATTATCTGATTTTAAATTATATGTTAAATGGCGTAAAGTTTTATAAATTAAAAATTGTTTTAGCCAATTGGGCATATTCATTTTAAAAGGCAAAACCAAATCTTTTTATTTATTTTTTTCCAGCTTATTGCTTGGTTTTCAATTTTATTTAAAATCTTAAAACAGATAAAATGAAAAGCAAATTTAAAAGGAAGACAATTTTTCTAATCTATGTGGAGAAAGTAGTTTTATTTGTATTTTTTTCATCTAACAGAGTAAGTTGAAAATATATATAGCATTTTTGAAATGCAAAATTAACTAGTACTTTTAAAACTGAAAAGAAATGATTATTAAAGTTTTAAATAAAATATATTCCCAATTTAAAGTGAATGTATTTTTCCATAACCATAAAAAACATAACTGGTACTGTTCTTATTATTATTTGATTGCCTAAAAATTAACTATACGCTTCTATAGAACTAAAACGTCCTAACAAAAATTTATGTTTTGAGTATAATTTGTAATTTTCAAAGGTATCGAGCTAATTTTTTCTTGTGTATTAGAACTCCGCCAAATAGAAGTTTATACAAGATAAGTGGAGAATTTCCAACGCTTTTAAGTTCATTGTTAAGTGTCCTTGATTGCTTAAGGTCCTTGATTATAGGAATTTTTCTTCTTCAGTTCATATATCTTTGAATCGACCGCTAGATAAAGTACTTCCTAGCAACGTGGAGTGCATTTCCAATGGCAACGCAGCCAAAAGTTTATAACTTTTTTGCGCTCATTAAAATTATAAAATTTTCCCTCCTCTACAAAGCGACACAAAATAGTAGAAGGCGAGGGAATGAAAAGCGCAAAAAGTTTTCCTGCCGTGTCGTGCATGCTAAAGTTGTTAAATCATAATTAATTTATGACGGCGCCATCCGCCGAAGCAGCTAGCCGTCCGCCTCCTTTTCATCCCCCCCATTTTGCCTCTTATCTGCACTCTGGTCTCGATTTCTTCAGTCCCTTCCCCTTGGTAGTCCCCAAAAGGGCCGCGCCGTCGTTTAAAATACTCTTAAAAAGGAGCCCAAGTCTAAATACCTGCTGGGTGTAGTCCGTTTCCAACCCCACAAGTGTCCTAAAGGAGATGCCGGCGTGATTGCTAATAAACTCACGCGAGTATGATTATGTAGATAATAATGAAAACCATTATATTTTTTTTTGTTTGTGTCCAATAGATAACTAGTAAAAGATAATTAAAACAAACTTTAATACAAGAACATTGGTTAAATTTAACAAATGTAAATAAAAAATGTATAAAAACAAAAAACCTTCATAACAAACCAGTTGTAGGTTTTTTTATTTATTTTTTTATAAGTTATAGTATTGTTCCACGTTAAAAAAATTACATTATTTTTAAAATCACGTTATAGGGTTCTTTTTCTATTATATTTATGAAAAAGTGATGTATTTTTGTTGATTAATTATATTTTTTATAATTACTTTTTTTTCTGTAATGACACAAAACAATAGTTAACACGTATTATTTTGAGTGACAATATTTATCTCAGTTTAAATGCAATCTATGACGCTCCAAGGGAGATAATTTTTTGTGTCTTTATGCAAAACCTTTTTTATTTTTCTGTGTAAAATCAAATCTTAAGCCAGGAACCTGCAAAATCACAAAGGAACTCGTGGCTTTGTGGACATCTCAAAGAACTACCTTGCGTCGCCTGGTTTTATGCGCCTCATTGCAGCGACGACGGCGTCGAGAGTGGTGGCAGGCAAACTAATTGGTTTAATTTCAACTTTTACTTTGGACCACCATAGTCACCCAGTCACCCTGCCACCCCACGTCCTTGTGCCCTAAGCCACCCCTTGTGCCCACCGAGTCAGTGGCATTTGAGAAGTTTGCTTTGCTTTGCGCTTCGCCTGGCACTTCACTTGCCTTCGTGGCGGGACGCTTTTACTTTTTCCTCTTCCGCTTTTACAGCCTTCCACTTTGCCGGTTTATTTCCGGCGCCCCAATCTTCTTAGCGAAAGGCATTCACTTATATTAGTGGTTTTTATTTTTTGGATTACTACAGAAATGTACCATTTTGTTCAAGCAGTAAAACTTTGATGTCGTACGGAATCTGTAAAAAATTGTTATAGCTTTTGCGGCCCATCTTATAGTTTGTTATTAATATTATGTGCAAAACCTCATTAATTTAGTAAATATAATAATCTTTGGGAAAACAGAAATCGAAGCAAAATTAAAAATTCTAATTTTTTGAAAGTAAGTGTTAAAAGAGGATGTTAAAGAAAATGGAAAATGTAAATTGTATGATGTTTTTGTGCCTTATTTAGGGAATCAAAACGAATTGCGGCCAATAAAATTATTGCATTACATTTTAAAATTAGGCAGTGAATAATTTATGAAAGTTGAACAAAAACCAGTCTCTACAACTAAGCCTCCTTTTTTTTTTAAATTGTTTTATTTCCATTAGATGTGAACAGCAGATCTATAGCTTAAATTTGATGCTCCGCATGATGGGAAACTTTTCGCCGGCACATTGACCTCGAAAGTCATCCAGAGATAGGTCGTGGAAGGCCACCCCGCCCAAACCACGGGACTGTACGAACTCGGCCTTGATGGCCGCCGTTGTGGGATCCTCGTAGCCCACCCATAGGCCATTCTCGCCCTTCTCATCCGCCGCCCTATAAGCGTAGATGCCGAAACGCTTGGTGGGATCGCCCACCTTCCGCAGATGGGGCACATCCCGATCCTTCGGTTGCTGTTGCAGCAGCTCACACGTCTCCGGCCAGCTGAGTAATCCGGGAATGACTGTTTGCCTGCCCGCCGGAGCAGCTCCATTAGCCGCCGGAATTGGTGGATAGCCGGTAATTCCAGAGTTCCGGGTCATGTTCCAAGCACGCCCGTAACTGGCCACTCCAACATGCAGCTTGTGTGCACTGATTTGGGATGTCTGGTTCAACCAATACTGCACCTGGTACTGCACATTGTGGTTGGGATTCCGGTCGTACATTTCGTACAGTGGAGCTGGCAGATCAGCAACCTTGGGATCGCGTTCCGGAGTCTGAAAGTCATAGGTGCCCAGGTTGACGAAGTCCACGTGGCTCAGTACAGTGGGAACATCAATAAAAACTGGAAAAAGAGATACCCATTTTAATATTTAATATTAAACGATGATTTTGCCTCTTAGACTAATCCACAAAGACTTGGCTTTTTTTAGTTTTAAATAATTTTTTAATGAAGAACAACTTCTGTTTGATTCAAAAGGGAAAACTGGGAAGTAAGATAATATTTTTAAGAACTATCTGAGGATTAAATTTACAATAATCAGAAAGAACAAAGATTTTCCCATTAATTAAGTATAAACTGTTGTGACGAAAGTTGTAATATACAAAACATGACTTTGGTATGATCCGAATACTATTTTTATAAAGTAAAATGTGATTGTATTAAAATAGATTGATACACAATTGATTGTTTTAAGAACGATAAAGGTATGTCAAATTAAGAAACTTTCTTGCATAATAGATAGGTGAGTTTTAAAAACGAATATTACAATTTCTTTTTAAAATAGTGTTTGCTTGATCCAAACGAAAATAATTTCAAAACTAAACAATTCTAAAACTAAGAGTTCTTATACCTGATACACACTTTTTAAGGTATTTTAGAGAAACTTTTTACAAAAAGGTGTAGGCTAGTATAACTTACGTTCTGCTGAAACATGGGGCAGCATGCTGACAGTCAGGAGCTGGCCACTACGTCGCAAATCGGATTTCAATTCTCCAAGAAGGGCCGCAAACTGCTCCCGATGCTCCTGAGCCTTCTCATCCACCGATGTGGAAGTGAAGAAGCCACGGAAGGAGCCCCAAACCCGCTTAAAAACACCCTGCTGCAGTTTGGGCTTGTTTTTTGGGAACTGCCAGGAGAGATCGAGTCCATCGAAGCCATTGCTGTTGAGTTCATGCACCACACTCGCCTGGAAATTTTTTCTATGCTCCGGCTGTTCCAGTAATCTCAAGTACTTGCCACTATCTGCCACGCCCTCGCTGTCCAAGTCCTGATCGCCGCCCACCGAGAGCAGGAATCGGACATGCGGATACTTCTTTCGCAGATCCGTTATGTGACGATAGTGCTGGCGGTCGTGGGTTAACGTTGGATCCAAACTCTTGATCTTGTAGGTTTCAGCATCGATGCCCGCATAACCGTAGACCAGAAAGTTGCAGAAAGTCAGGGCGGGCTCCAGTTCGGCCAATGACATTTGGGCGGGGCCTGAAAATGAGATAACCTCTGATCTACTTGGCACACAAATTGTAAATGCTTTCAAGTCTAACCTTCTCGCACAAAACTCTTGGCATCGTAGAAGCAGACCAGTTTTCCAACTTCTGCAGATATGCACTGCAATATGGCCAGAAAACTGCAGAGCAGTAGCCCTTTAAATGGGCTATTTAAAGCTAACATAATGATTCGTGGCACTGTTCAGCTCTAAATTAGATTAACAACTGATCTGGCCGCTTGTTTTGATGAACCAGAGTCAAAGCCTTGTCCAATCCAGCAGATAAGAAATTATTGTGATTAGTGCTCCGATTCTCTGTTTTTATAATGCTGCATTTGGCAATAGAACACCGAAAGAAATACTAAAACAAATTGAAAAATTAAGGTTATTATAAAACAATCTTTTTATTGTGCCGAATACAGGTAAAACTATTGATCCATTATATAGATTCGATCTACAAAAATTTTAGTAATATTAAATAAAATAAAAAATATTGATTTTTTAAAACAGATTCAAGGTGGACATAGAATCACAAGTTACATATTAAAGTGAGATAACAAAAATGTTGAAGTTTTATATGGTATAACAAAAAATAATCATCGTAATAACATTATTTCTATACGAAATGTCATTGCAGCACAACAAATTACATTCTTAAATAATATTATCGATTTCGAAAATAGTCAAATGAAAAGTTATTCAAAATTTGTTTTCTGTATTTTTAATAACTGCAAAACCGAAAAGTATTTAAATAAGTTACAAAATATTTGTACTTACTTCGTTTTTTTGTACCAATGTGCCTAAGAACTAAAGCAAAAAGACCTTAAATAAAAAATTGTAAATTCCATTAAGACTAACTGCCTCTCAGCTATTAATATATTTTCCCTTATCCACATTTCCCGCAAACTGGCAAACAAACAAACAAAACAACATACACCCATTAGTGTCTGTCAAAGCAAAGGAGTGGGTGTTAAGGGGGTTGCTTGGGCTAGCAAAGTGTCACTTCCACAAATTCAATGCCAATCCAAAGTCCTGCACTCAGCACCAATTTACCGATTCCCACGGGACAATAATGTTTGTTCATGCTCGTAACGCTTAAACACATTAAAGCCCTCGACAACGACGACGGAATGATGAGTTGTCACTCCCCAGGAGCAATAACTGGGGGTCACCACTCAAACATGGATGGCCGTGCCCATGCCCATGCCCATGCCCATGCCCATGCCCATGCCCATGCCCATGTCTATCCCCATGACCATGTCCATGTCCTTCATCCCCCAGTTGATTAGCAATTTTGCTCACGTGGCGGCAAGGACCAAATGTGTTGACTGCCATGTCATTTGATGGCAATGAAGGGGTCAGCTGTCGGGGGATGGCATCAGTGCTCAATTACTGTGCTTGCTTTTAAAAACTTTTTGGGGATTACATTAAACACAGCCCGAAATCCAATTGCTTACGAGTAAATGGAAATTCATTGGGAAATTGCCTTTATTACAATCAGATTATGTTTTATTTGTATGATACTAATATGGGTATTTAAAAATGTTTGCCACATTATCTCATACTTTTTCAAAAGCGATTTTTATTTATTTCGAATAATGGGAGAAAACTCGAGTTATTTTTAAGATTTACAAAAAGCTTTTTTGGCTGTCTGCACCTTAAAAACATGAGTAATTTTTCGAAAATTGCTAATAAACATTATATATTTCTTTTTAGCCACTTTTCTATTCTAAACTATTATTTAACCCAGACTTTAAGAAAAAAAGTTTTTTGTGTTGTCAAAATTAAAATAAACCCAACCTTTTAAGATCAAAATTTACCCAAAATAACAAAGGCAATGTAATGTTAATGGTTGCCTGTTGGCTAAAGCAACAATTTAAGAAATTACTCTATACACGAAACCTAAATTCACATTATTAAATAAATAAACTGTTGACTTCAGTTTTTACCTAGGACAATGTTCTACGAGCACATGTAAGCGCCTAAATAAGGGCAACAAAAATGGGTTAGCCACCTGCGAGAAAGCACAAAATGAAATTCAAGTTTATGCATAAAGCCGCAGTTGGTTGTATCATAAAACCAAATGGCGAGAGCTATAAAACTAACCACAGCACAAAAAAAGGACAATAAAGGAAGCAAACGGTGGGGAAAAGCCAACAGGAATCAACAGAATGTAACCGCAAACACGGACGCTTGGGCAATCAACTAACAGAATGCACACATGTTCGGTAACACTGCTTTCTATTACTTTCTCCATCTCTTTGCATTGTCGGTGCCACGCCCATTCCAGAGGCGTACGAAATTTTTGTTAGCAGATAATTGTAACTAAAATAAATTATTCGGAAAGTATTATTTTTAAAAAATATACTTTCAGTTATTCCTATAAAAGAATACACTACGTTTAGTCATTTTCGAGTAGAAATTTTAAAAGATGGCTACCAAGAAATATACATAAGGTTTTTCTCAGAATTTTTTTTATTTTTTTGGATTATATTTTAGCCGTAATTTCTACAGATTCTGGCACACATATTTCTTTTTAATCCCCCCACTTAGCCTTCTCAATTAAATCCAGGTTACGCCACTGGCTCTCTCACCCAGAACTTTTGCCACAGGTTGACAATAAACTAATAGAGGAGCAGCTGCCGAGAAAGCCATTATAATTCAACCGACAGGAATAGTGATGCAATTACACATAAATATAAATCCACATGGAAAAAGTGAAAAAATTGTCAAATAAGGTTAGAGAACACAACAAAATAACCGCATTATTTTTAAACGTGATTTATAATAATATACTGTGCATGCAATAAAATCTATTTATGTTTAATTTTGTAATATTACGTATACGCATCATAGAAAGTAAGGGAGTGTATTTTGTTTTAATTTAACATTTGATTGTACAGTTTTATAAGGGAAACCAGATACCATAAGTTCTTTTTTTTCTTTTAGTTCCTTTTTTTATGGATGTCATTACTCTTACTATTCTTACACTATTTAAATTTAATTGTTTATTAAAATGATGTGTTAATAAGGACACTTTTTTCAAATTAAGTTTTTTTAGGCTAGAAAAATGCTGGGTAAGTGCCCTATATATAATTATTTTTTCTCTTCCTTCCCTTACATACTCCATCATACTGAAAGCTTCAGCCGGATACAAACTCCTGTTTTATTTCAATTTATAGAGCATAAACATGACCACTTGAGACCGCTGACGTACCGCTCCTTAACACCACTCGAGTTTTCCGATTGAAACATTTGTTCAACGGGTAGGCGCTTTAATGGTGCCACAAAACCAGTACTTGGCCGTCTTTAACTCCTGAATACCCTCTCGACTCGATGATTAACTTTTTCGAGAGACATGTGGCAGCTGTCGCTGCCCGCACCGCAGCGTAATTAAATTGTTAACGCACACGTGTCGGCTGTCCTTCTTTAAAGGCGCACAATTCCTTCCACATATAACGTATACGTACATATGTATGTACGTTCATCTGGCTGAAGTTCATTTATCCGTAATGCCATCTACGTTGACAAATGTGGAAAAAAAAAACAACAACAACAGCATTTAGCACACGCGGCACTAATCCAGTGTGAGTGGAAGCTGTGTGACTGAGCTAAACCCTTTCTCCGCCCCATCCGCATTCGCATTCACATTCACCTTTCTCCTCCGCAAAACCACCGAAACACCCCGAAAACGCTGGGAATAGCCTCAGGCCCCCAAAACACCCAAAAAACTCATTTTGCATGGAGCTTGGCTGGTGGTTTTAAATGCTTCATTGGCTTAATTGCCAGCCATGTGCGAAAACACATACACATTGAAAATCACTTTAAAATTAAAAACAACAAATTTACCAAAAATACTTATATATGTTTCTTAGTCTTTTCATTAGAAAAATCCAGGTACTACAGTGCTTAATTAAGTTAAAACTCGTAAGCTTAACATATCAATTTATAAAAAAGGACTTTATATTTCCGAATCCGACATAATGTTTCAATCAAAATTATTTTTATCAGTATAGAGTCGATTTCAATATGAGACATACTTATTCAATATTTCATATTTTTATTTTCAGTGCACCAAAACACGGGTAGACTTACTTATAAACAAAATCAAACAGACACACTTAAAGCAACTTTTGCGTGACAAAGTCAATTCGACCACAAACACGTTCATTTACCTTTTGCGACTACATAGACACACAATAACAAATAAAAAAAACATAGAAGAACTTAAACTTCTGCTCGGGAAATTCTGTTCATACTAAGCTTTTAAAATTTGTAAATGTAAGTAATATAAATTATTTTTTTATTAATTTGTTTATGTTATTTGTTTACATTTTGAAGTATCAAGTAAAAGCAAAGTTGCTGCGGAATTTTACGAATTTTTGAAATAGATAAGAATTTATACTAGTTTTTTATAATTTTATACGAACGAATGTGTAATATGATTGCTACAATAAAATAGCTAGGAGTCGGAAAAATTCTCTGGAATTGATTGCTGTTTTTATATTAGAGCCGCATGCAAAACACAGACAAAGATCTCTTCAAAGCTATAACGAACAGGATGGGTGGCTGTTAAAATCAAGTTATGACGCATTATTTGCTTATATTTCAAAAGCCATGAATTAATTGAAAAAGTGCGCAATTTGCTAATCAGTCCGACTTGGCGGGGCTATAAAAGTGACCTGTTCAAACGGATTTGCAAAATAGTCGCTAAAATCCCTCACAACATGAAGCTGCTCTCGATCGCATTTCTTTTGGGTCTGTTGACTCTGGCCAGTGGTAAGTGAAAGGATATACCATTTAATCCGGACTGAATACTTAGTGAAGCTTTTGTATTATTTCCAGCAACTCCTTTGAATCCTGGCAATGTCATCATCAACGGCGACTGCAGGGTTTGCAATGTTCGGGGCGATTAAAATATAAAACTGAAGCTCATTTGCTTAACTGCGCAAAAATATGAAATAAAATAAGATCACTTTTTCACTCATAAATGTAGTTTTTTTCTGTTAAGTTAATGCAGTAGTTTACAAATGTGATTTAACAGCGTCTCGAAAATTCATGCAAACTTTGAAATGGTTTGGAAACAAAGAAGACATTCTTCTTTTTTTTAAGAAAATTTTGTATGTGCTTTTAAAAGAATTATAAAAAAACTGTGTGCTCTAAAAACCAAAAACAATAAAAGAAAACTATAATAATATGTAAAGAATTTTTATTTTCTTTATATTTTGGTTACAAGAAGTAAATTCTTTTTTTTTTTAGCCTCCATCCTAGCTTCGCACATTGCACTTTACACAATCTCCATTGATAATAACGTTATCCGGAACCAGAGGTGATGCTGTAAAAATAAGAATAAAAAATGCATTTAAAAATTATAGGCAAGAATTGAGGTATCCTAAGGATGACTCACCATTTGCCATGGCCAATAGACCAAAAACAAAAACCAAGCTCAGCCACTTCATATTGTCGGTAAGACTTTAGTCGCAACTGATGAAAATTCACTTCCTTGGTTTTCTTTTATAGAAAACTCAGGTATAGGTATTCGTTTCGAACACACAAGGCCATGTAATAACTGGAAACGCCCAGAAATTAAATATTTCCCATTGATAAGCCGATTCTATATTATACCCATTGATAAGCCGATTCTATAATGTACAATTTGCAAAACAAAAGTTGATAATAATCAAATCAATAATTGTTTGTCATACATTTTTACATGTATTTTTGTCTTGAAAGGTTAATACAAATCTTACTGCGTACTGCAACCGTACCAAAAAAAAAAGAAACAATATAAATAGAAATCTAATAATGTATTAAATTGCAATTAAGAAGTACAATGCATATAAACTTGCATGTATGTAGTTAATGTGTTTAGTTTTGAAATTGTTTATATTTGATTAAAATGCTTTTCATTTATGTTAAGTACGGTTTACCTTCAAACTAAATTTACAGATATTAAAATTTTCCGAAAATAGATAAACGAAATTTCATTTTTATACCCTTGCAGAGGGTATTATAATTTCAGTCAGAAGTTTGCAACGCAGTGAAGGAGACATCTCCGACCCTATAAAGTATATATATTCTTGATCAGCATCACTAGGCGAGTCGATCTAGCCATGTCCGTCTGTCCGTCCGTCTGTCCGTCTGTCCGTCCGTTTATATGCAAACTAGTCTCTCAGTTTTAAAGCTATCTGCATGAAACTTTCCCAAAAGCTGTCTTTCTATTGCAGGTAGTATATAAGTCGGAACGAGCCGGATCGGACGACTATAGCATATAGCTCCCAAAGGAACAATCGGAAAAATAAATGAAAAAAAATTATAACTTTGCTGTTTTTTAATTTTTTGTTTAGTTCTTCGACATTTAGTAATGGTTAAATGTTTCCGATTTACGTTTTAAATTTCATCAAAATCGGACGACTATAGCATATAGCTCCCATAGGAACAATCGGAAAAATAAATGAAAAAAAATTATAACTGCTGTTTTTTAATTTTTCGTTTAGTTCTTCGACATTTAGTAATGGTTAAATATTTCCGATTTACGTTTTAAATTTCATCAAAATCGGACGACTATAGCATATAGCTCCCATAGGAACAATCGGAAAAATAAATGAAAAAAAATTATTACTTTTCTGTTTTTTAATTTTTTGTTTAGTTCTTCGACATTTAGTAATGGTTAAATATTTTCGATTTACGGTTTAAATTTCATCAAAGTCGGACGACTATATCATATAGGGCCCATAGGAACAATCGGAGAAATAAATGAAAAAAAATTATAACTTTTCTGTTTTTTAATTTTTTGTTTAGTTCTTCGACATATGGCAATGTTTAATTATTTCAGAATTATGTTTTAAATTTTATCAAAATCGGACGTCTATATCATATAGCTCCCATAGAACTAATAAAATTATATAAAATAACTATCTAATAATTGAGCTGCAAATCATCATAGCTTCACTGTTTTTCAGTATATACTCAAGTAAATCATAATTTAAATGTTTTCAAAAGTATTTAATTCATGCAATAGCTGCAAGGGTATATGAACTTCGGCTTGCCGAAGTTTGCTTTCTTTCTTGTTTAAATTATGATATAGCTGTCAAAAACAGTTTCATTGTAAAATATAAAATAAACTCCCATTTTCCCAACACAAACTATACCGATAGAAACTACCTTATAATTGAGTCAAGAAATTTCCAAAAATCAATTTTTATTTGAGGATTGACTACACAGTAATTAAACTAAATAAATGATATAAAATTCCAAAGGCTATCGCTCCAGATGTAAGAGTGTATGAAATAGAACCAGCCGTCCCATGATCAGGGGGCATTATTATGCCGTCATCGTTATCCGGCTTGTTGCAGTCGATGCACTTTCCATTAATATACACTTTGCCCGGTGTAGCTGCAATAAAAAAATTGTTTATCTTCATATATATATAAGCTTATAAGCTAAACCAATTACCATTAACCGCAACCAGCAGGCAAAAAATCAGCATCAAAGCTCCGGCGGATTTCATGTTTGACTTTGGGACTACGAATAAATCTGATCGCGAATGCTCGAGTGCTCTGCTCTTTATATGGGATCAGTATATAGTATTGTTCAGCCTAAGCGGGGCTTTTCAGAAAAATCTCGAGGGAAGAAACTGATCGGTACCGAATCGATTGTTAAAAACCCATAATTTATTTACTTTTAATATTTTTCTGTGAAGATAACGAAATTTAAATATCTTATCGTTTAAAAATAGCATTAACTTGTTGCAAAGTTTACGTTGTTTGATACACACTGTTTACAAGAAACAAAATATTATTTACTAAAAGAAATTCAATAAAAATTAACAAATTTTAATGCGTAAAAAATGTTTATAATCGTAAGAATTGAAAAAGCCCTAAAGTTTAATAATTAAAGGGAATTTTAAGTCAATATAATGAATATTTTTTGTTGTTTGATAATGATTTATTTTAAGTCAAATAATTGAGAAATAAATGTTTAAATAACACACTTAAAATATTAAAAAAATTTAATTATTTTACATTTTCTTTAGCTTTAATATTTGTATATTTTGTATTTGTCTTGGCAATTTTAAACTTCAAATTCCAAAGTCTTACAAATTTCTTATTGGGCAAACCTTCTAGCCGAAACTTTATTAAAAATTTCCAAGTTCACACCATATATTCATAGTACCACCACAAATATTAGGTTGAAATAATTGTGGAATAGATTTCTACATTTGGGAGTAAAATATCTTATATTATATTTATGTTTTTAATTAAACATTTTCTCAAAAGAAATTTAAAGTAAGAATTTTTATTTGAAAGAGGTTTTTAAAGCACCCCTGATCAAAAGGGGAATTAGCAATAGGCTTAAAGTCAATTATTTCGTAACTCAGCTGTGCCTTGTTTCCCCGTCATTTAAACATTTTCCCAATAAAAATATATATTATGTTTACTTTTAATTTTTTTTTAATTGAACTTATTTTTCTTTGAATTTTTATTACATTTCTGTCTGACTTAAATATATATGTGGCTGTGTGAACTGCAACTGGCTCGTTTTCTTGCCTCCATCTCAACTACTCCTAGGCCCTCACATTGCAGACGCGGCAGTCGCCGTTGATGATGACATTGCCAGGATTCAGGGGAGTGGCTGAGGACACTGTAGAATGGAAATCAGAGTTAAATGACTTACGTTGTTTGCAAATATTTAGTTGAGTTCACTCACCATTGGCCAGAGCCAGCAGTCCCAAAACAAAGGCAAGCGACAGGAATTTCATGTTGTTGATTTTGTGGTTTGTTTTTGCGGTTGACTCGAGAGGATTGCAGGTGACAACTGATGTCGAGAGTTGAGCACACCGCTGCTTATATGTATAGCCCTATAGCTGAGCTCTTAGAGCTAGACCGATCGGTCTTATCAAGAAGCTGGCCACGATGGCTCTGGGAAAACTCTGGCAGAGATCGGGATTCTCCCAGACGAGAAGTTCCCCAAGTGCTGTAGTGCGACGTTCTCAATGAAATTGAGCGTAAACAAGTGCAGACTGATAGCCACGGGGCGCGAGATTGAGAAAGGGAAATCCAAGCTGGTCCACAGCAATATTCTATTCACGTGCAATGCCCAGATCGAAAACCTGATTTCATTTGACTTAGCGCCCCTGCGATATAAATATTTCCAAGTATTTCGACCCGTTTTACAAGTTCAATTCCGTCGAATCCATAAACGTCTAAATTAAAACCGAGCTTATTAGCAAGAATTGTGCGAAAAGGGGTAACCAAGGTACATAGTTGCATTAGTCTGCTTCGTCTGGGGTTCGCCAAATGCCATAAAAATATATGTAAAAAATGCGTAGTACAAGAAGAAAACAAATTTATTTTATAAATATTTTCAACTCAATGTAAATATTTTTCGATTTGATTTTCATCCTTTGCGGTTGTTAGTTAATTTAAATATATAAATATTAGGATATTAAACATTTTTTTTATTGATTGGTTTGAGTTGATTTTTAATATTTGAAAATTTAATTTAAATTTAAACCATATTTCATTTACATAAAATGCATTTTAATCGAATAGGAACTATTTTAAATTAGTTTTTTAATATTAAATATTGCAGTTCAATTAGCATTATATTTAATTTTAATATCAAATACTATTTAAAAGTCAGATATTTATTTTACTATTACACTTAAATTTATTAATGTACTTTTCATTTGTAACATATTATTTTGTAAAGAATTCATATTTGGCCACACAACATTTTTTTACCACGTCAGTGCTTTTTTTAATTACCTCATAAAATGAATTAGATCCTTAAGATTTTTGCAGAAAAGATCAAAAGTATTAGAGCCTCAAACATTTAAACTATAAGGAAAGTATGATATAAACATAGCTGAAAAAAAAAATTTTAAAAATGATTGAGTTATAATATAGGAAATCAGGAAATCTTCAAAGCTGAACGTAATAAATAAAAAACTTTATTATCAGATTGTCTATCATTGTTGATTTAATCTTCCATTTACCGCTACGCTAGTGGCAACGGTTCGGATGCGTAATTCGTCATCCTTGAATAACATTGACTGTTCCAAAATTATTGTGCTGTAATAAAAACAATAATATCAGATGATGATACTTTTTAACTTTTATTTATTTTATGCGCTGTACAGTATCTGAGTAAAAACAGTACCATCAAAGCTGAAGATCAAAACCAATTATCTCCTTAAAAAAATGCAAACAGAAGACCTGAGGATTTCGATTATTAAAAAACCTTATAAGGGTAAAGCTCAAGAAAATATACAAAATTGCTAAGATTTTTTTTATATTTATTTTTTGTTTTTAAATTCTAAATTCCATTTTAGTACACAGCGGTAGTATAAATATAGTGTCTTGGGTTTGAGGTAAGTTATGGCCTTTTGTTGATTTTCAGGCAAGAACTTTCCTACTTGCCGCCATGGACATTGCAATATTTGCAGTCACCGTTGATGACCACATTTCCTGGATCGGGCGACAGGGGAACAGCTGAGGGGAAAATATTTAATTAGTTGAATAAACAAGCTCTGAAGTTGTTTTCTGTGTTTTTACTAACCGTTGGCCAGAGCCAGCAGACCTAGCACGAAGACGGTGACGACTGAGAAGAATTTCATATTGATTCTGGATTGGTGGTTCCGGTTTTTGATGCTTAATGCGTTGCACAATTGATTGACTTCAACTGATGCTCTTGACTGGCGGCACTTGATCTTTTATAGCTGAGAGTCGGATCGTAGAACGAGTCAAGTGCAATGGGCAGTCAGTCGACGGAGGCTTCTGATAACCCTCGACAAAGCTGGCGCGTTTGGGAAAACACAGAAAGTTTAGCCTTCTCCGCTGTTAACCGTTCAATAGCTTTTTGTTTTTGCGTATTTAAATCTGGAAATTCCAGTCCAGTGTTTACTTTGAAGCAAATAATAGTGCTATCTAAACTAGCAGGTGGAACTTAAATTCAAGTGAAAATGTTCAGATGTGCACATAATATTTAAATACTTGTAGTTCGTTTTGTTCATTTTCAGTTTCTCCCTAAAGCAATATATTTTATATTTTTGTTGACAAATGAAATTTGTTTTTATAAACTTCTATTCCGTTTTTTATATTTGCATAAAAAACGTGGCACGAATTAAAACAAACAATGGGTGGTCATAACAAACAAAATATGCATTTATTTCGATAGAACAAAAAGTGTATCGACGAATTCAAACCTGTTAATTATATTTGAATTCCAAAATCAACACGTGTTGAAAATTTAAATTAACATATAATAAACTATAAATTAAAACACAGTAAGTGTTAAAAAACGTTTTTAACTATTCTTAAAATTATATTTTCGCGTAAACTATTATTTGAGTTCAATAGAAGTTAGCTCCTAATCAAATTTATTAAACTTGATTTTCATAGCTTTCCAATGAGTAAAGAATATAAGTTACTATGTCAGTATATAAAAATAAAACAAACATTTCAATTGCATCCTATTCAAAAAACTAACACAATGAATTCTTGAAAAAATATTTAACCCTGTATTATGATTAATATTAAATATTTGTTATTTGCAGCATCAAATCCTTTAAAAACTTCGATTTATCTTTGCGGAGCCATCATTTATGTTGATTTACGCATCAGCATGTTGATTTACGCATCTAGTTGTCTATAGATTCCATAGTTTTGTTCTATTTTTCCTGAACTGGTCTGCATACAAATTAAGTGAGGTGCGCAATAAATACACTGGATTTATTAGAGATTTTTAAACCTTGTGAAAATTGTGATTTTTAGTCCATTAACAGAAATGGAGATACAAAAAATACGCTTAAAAACAAATGAAAGCCGTAAATTACACTTTCCAAAAATATGGTACCACACAAAAAACGTTCAGTGCTATTTTTAACAGGAAGTCAAACTGCACCGAAGTATAAAGATTAGATTTCGGCTGGATTTTAATAATTTAAATTTGTAAACAGTAATACATATTAAATTTATATGTTTTTTTTTTTAAAGTAAAACATTTTTAATTTACAGTGTCAGTTCTTTTAATCCCAACAAAAGAAGAAGAAAAGCATTAAACTCATTCCATTTTCTATTCCGGCAATAGTTCAGCTTTGTCTCAAAATAAAGTAAAACATCATGCCTTACCTATACTTAACGCCAGCCTTGAGCGGTTTTATATGCATGTGTATAATACATTATATGTAGATTACAGATCTGAGCTAATCGGGACGGGTATAAAAGAAGGCGCCTGTGATCGAGCAGGTTAGAGAGCCGCATAATGAAGTGCCTGACGCTATTGGCGCTATTGTTCTTGGCCACGTTGGCCTTCGTTCAAGGTCAGTTTTGGTCTAAAAGACTTTACCCAGAATATTAATCTCTGTTTCACCTACAGCCGGAAAGGTGATGATCAACGGAAAGTGTGTGAACTGTTCACATGACCATACCACCACAACCACAACCACCCACAAGCCCGCAAGGGGCAGAGCAACCACCGCCAAACCCAAGCCGAAATCATCTCCGACCCACAGGCGACCTTCGTCGGATGAGGACGATAATGACCTGGACGGTGGCTTCTCCCTCCATCAATCTGGTGGATCTCAATACATAGGCCGGCGATCCAAGCGCCAATGGGGTGGTCAGTACATTGATCTGGGCGGATCTGGCGGACGAGGAGGAGGCGGCAGCGGCGGAGGTGGGGGTTGGTCAGGAGGTGGCGTTACCACCATTGATTCCCGACCCTATCCCGGAGGAACCCTAGTCCGCAACAGTGACTGTGTGGGCTGTAATATTCGTGGTTAATACCACGGAATTTAAATACAATAAATTTTTATGAAAATAAATTTTATGTGATGAGTTTTTTCTCTAAGTTTTCCAGTTCTAGATGTCTTTTTTAATAGCAACTAAAATTGTGGGTAATTAATTTTCTTAAAAAGTTGCCGTTACCTAAAAGACCAGATCTCAAAACTTTATACAGAAATATATTATCGCAGTTCACTGGATTTAAATCAACAAATGTTTTCTTTTTTTTTGTTTTTACTGCCCAAAAATAAAAAACCACAGTAAATAAATTTGTATTATGTTGTATTTGTTTGGTTGGTATTGATTATAAATTGTATGTAGAAAACATAAAAATTGTGTTATTTATATTTTTACAAAAATAGGCACTAGCTGCCGCGAACATTGCAGTATTTGCAGTCACCATTGATGATCACGTTTCCTGGATCGGGCGACAGGGGAACAGCTGAGGGGTAAATAATAAATTAGTAAAATAAACAAGTCTTAAAATAGTTTATAGTCTTTACTAACCGTTGGCGAGAGCCAGCAGACCCAGCACGAAGACTGTGACGACGGAGAAGAATTTCATATTGATTCTGGATTAGTTTTGCCGGTTTAAGACGATAAATGCACGGTTCAATCTATTGACAACAACTGATTCTCTCGGCTGACGGCACCTGATCTTATATAGCCGAGAGTCGATCTGGCTAGAAAAACCCGAGTGCAATAGGTATTCAGAGGCCCCTGATAACCCCGACACATATATATAATCACTTGACTCTGGATTTTATGTAAAAGCACATTGTTTACTGCTGAACAGAATCTTTTTCTAACTGGCAAATTCGAAGTGAGTGTCAACAAAATATTTCTGCAACATTACACTGACTTACAAAATTAAACCGACAAAATCCTTCAGAGATAAAATTTGGATTTTCCGGTGCAGTTGGACTCCCTGATTAAGAAAATTTCACTTAAAATTGTTTGTACGGCACTATTTTTTTTTCTGAGTGTAAATTACGTTTTCATTTGTTTTCATACCTGTTCTGTTTTTTCATCCCCAGTTCGACATAACTTCAAGGTTTGATCTCAAGGATTTTATCGACTATAAATGATATTAAGCATTTTCGTCCATTTTTTTTTGTGCATATAAATAAGTAGTACACCTATTTGGCGAGATCGGCCATTGAACTTCAATTTGGTTACCCCGATGCTATAACGTCGGTCGCAAGATTGCCGGCAATAATAAATTAATAAATGCCCAGAAAGAAAGTACTTGTAAATTTTCGTATTACTGAAAAGGGGAGTAAAATCCCTCTTTTTTTTGTATTTGTGTGTTTGGCATTGTTTCTAAATTCTATGTTACATTTTAAATTTGTATGATAAATATTGTGTCTGGCGTTAGAGTTAACTTGAGTCCTGGTATCCTATTTGGTCCTACTTGCCACCATGGACATTGCAGTACTTGCAGTCGCCGTTGATGATCACATTTCCGGGATCGGGCGACAGGGGAACGGCTGAAGGGTAAAAAACAAATTAGTAAAATAAATAAGTTTTAAAATAGCTTATAGTCTTTACTAACCGTTGGCCAGAGCCAGCAGACCCAGCACGAAGACGGTGACGACTGAGAAGAATTTCATATTGATTCTGGATTGGTGGTTCCGGTTTTGGATGCTTAACGCGCTGCACAATTGGTTGACTTCAACTGATGCTCACTGCTAGCGAGATCTGATCTTATATAGCTGAGAGTCGGATCGTAGATGGAATCAAGTTTAATGGGCAGTCGTAGGTTTCTGATAAGACCCGACCGTCGTATGTGTTTGGAAAATCCCAAAAAATGTAATCACTGGATTTGGGTATTTTGTAAAAACATATTTTTAACGGCTGAATTTTAATTGTAAAAAAAATATATCTTAGATTAAAATGTTCGCATATTTATTGAAAGCTGTCCATTATTGAACCAATTGTATCTGCTGTGTACATACATTGTCAACTGAATCAAAAACCACAATTTTTTTATATTTAAAATTCAATGTTGAACTCCTTATAAATTATTAAGAATTATTTTTTAAGAGAATTGAACTGCAATTTTTGAAGAACTATATATGGAAATTTATAAACATATACTTTACAAGGGTAAAATTAACAAAATATGGTAAAATGAATGCCAAATGTTTGTTGTCCTTTTAAAAAATTGTTACTGGCAGACACCGTTTCAGAGGTCAGAGGTTTTGATGGCCAAGAACAAATAACAAATATATAAATCAATGTATAATTCGACATGATAACGTCGGTCATTGAATGTGCAGTCAATGACGTCGAATTAAAAACAATATACTTTATATAAATGTAATATTTTAAAATTGTATTAATAAATGAAATAACCAAAAATATTAAAAACTTTTCAAGTAGTAGGTATACAAAAGTCATCAAAACAGTTCAGCAATAAAACACAGTACAGTTAGAATTTAAAATTATACATAAAGAATCGATTTAGAAGAAATCAAAACAAGCTTCTGGTTTTAGACAAATACTCTGTGTTACATATACATTTGAGTTTAATTTCTAGCTAACTGAAATCAGAATAAAAGCTTGTGTGGAAAACCCCTTGCCAAGAATAATCTGTGAATTGAACTGGTTTCTGGGGCGAATCCCCGTGTTACCACCTTTGACTGTGCGTGCGTTGCAATAATCTGGTTTCAATAACAAAGCAAACGGGAATGCTTAAAAGCTTTCGGATTTCATGTCTCTCGAGCAGATTCGTCTTGTACCCAGTTCGAGAATGAAGTGTCTGATTCTAGCTTTTGCCGTTGCCGCCGTTCTGGTCTCCCAGGCGACAGGTAAGGATGAGATGAGATGGCCACCCTCCTCTTCTCAGCCACACGATTCTCTTATTATTCCATTACTCTGCAGCCGGAAATGTGATTATCGGCGGTACCTGCCGTGACTGCAGTCCGCCGGTGGCGGAAAACGTGGTAGTTAATGGTCAATCCTACAAGACGGGCAGACCGGGTCAGGGAACCGTCTACATCGGATCCCCCGATGCCTATCCAGGAGCTTTGGATGGTCAAGTCCGCCGACCGGGAGCTGGCGGAGGAGCTGGTGGCACCCGATATCCTGAAGGCTTCAGTGGTCGCGTGTCCGGTAACACTTACCTTCACAATAAGGATTGTGTTGGCTGCAGCATCAGCGGGGGCGGGGACTGAAAATTAATAAAGTTTTAAAACCAAAAAAAAAACACTTTGTGTTTATATATTCTATGGAATAACTTAAAGCTCCTTGTATACAGCTCTTCTACCAGAAATTTAAAAACCAATTTAATTTACAATATTCACAGCTATAAATTATTAGAAAAACAAATTGTTTTAATAGAATAAATGCTATAAGTAAGGCGTTCGTCTTCAAATATTTTTAATTTAATATTGGTTTTAATTTTCGAACGTGTTACAACATTTCTAATTTAATATATTTTATTGGACAATATTCGCAATTATATATTATCCGAAAATTTTATCATGGTCTCAAAACTACAAATTCGTTTTATTGTACGGTTAATTTAAGAATGATTTAGATATAGAGCTAGGTTTAAAAGCTTTTAAACTTTTTGTTTGTTAAATAAACTTTAAATAATTGTTATAGACAAAACTTGCACATATGGACTCCGTGAGTAAATATTTGCTATTAAAACATTTATTTACATGCTATTAATATATCAAGTCTTCAGGCAAAACAACAAGTTCCCTTAAACATTCTGAAGCGCAAAACATGTTTAAATCTGGAACCAAATTTTGCAAAGGGATATTCATTGTTAACAAATTGACATACATTGCCAAAAGTTTTAGGAAACAGAATAAAAAATAAACATATAATACAAACTGTCAGTAAAAACAAATTTATCTTAATTTTCTATATTTATACTAATATGAAATTAAACTTGATTTTGGTTCTGGTTCTAAATGCTATTTCATAAGCAAGAAATCACTATCTAATCAAAGCCGTGAATACCCTTAACATTGCACCTTACGTCATTATTGGTATTTACGCAGCATTCATCACAAGTATAAGTAAATATATGAATTATATTGCAAAGCTAGCTATCTAAAGCTTTCAAGCTGCAATTCAGCAGAGGCGAACTCTCAGTTTTGTTGGGTGGGTTATCAAGAGTGGGGGTTTTTGAAAAACCCAAAGGTTTGTAAAATATTCTGGGGTAATTTCTGTTTTTCTTGTGTTACTCACGGACGAGCTAAAGCGATGAGGCTATATAAAACGTGTTCAAATGGAACGATCTCAGTCAGTGTCTCATCTCAATTGTCGCAGCAATGAAGTGGATTTCGTTATTCTTGCCGCTACTGGCGCTTCTTTCTCTGGCTAATGTTGGATATGCTCGTAAGTAGCACATTTTTTGTTGATCCTCAAACCTTTTTTATAACAGATCATTTTATTTCAGGAACAATTCCAAAAATTACCATTAGGAATGGCGACATTATAGTGCATGGAAACTGCCATGGCTGCACAGCCCGAGCCACAAAAAACTCGGCTCATTTATCATTTAAATTTACTCGTAGATGGTAAATTTCAATAGTGATGAAATAACCAAAATCTTGCCATATATATTTAAACTAATTTATTAATAAAAACCAAAAAAACTTAAAATTACAAGTGAAAATTGTTGTTTAACGTGAAAAATGTAAAGATGCTATTAAATATTTGGCATATTTAAAAAATATTAAAAAAAGCTTTACTAAACCAAATAATACAATTAATTATTAAAATGTAATCAATTGATATTAAAACTATTGTGAGACTAAATTCCAATTTGAAATGTAAAGGAAGCATGCTTAGAAATTCTTTTTCGACTGCCCATTTGTAAGTTATTTCACTGTACTAAATTAATAATAGCCAAATTGCAATGTTCTCGTAAATTTGTCGTAAAACTCAAGCCTGCGTCGTAAATCATTCTTGGGCCGTAGCGAGGTTCCGTTCTGGCCTCTGTTTTATGCCTCATTGGTGGAAATATTTCAACAAAAAACAGCATAAAAGTTGCCATCATATTTGACTTTACCCGGACCATGCCGCCGTACACGTGTTTTCGTCGTTTCGTCTTTTCGTCGTTTTCCTTGTGGCAACGGCATTTCCGCGTCCTGTGAGCCGTGTCCCTTTGTGAGATGTTTTATTGCCAAAGAAAACCGAGCGAAGGCAAACCGCTGTGCGCTTGTAAATGACTCCCCAGGCACCTTTATATTGACTCGTAAAATTGTGACATTTAGTTGTGTGTGTGTGTGTGTGTGTTGTGGGGGTGGCCAACCCAAATCCGTCCATGCCATTTTACCGGCCTCCTTTTCTCGGGGTCGAAGTCATGGTTTTCGGAGACGTTTTTCAGTGCTTTAAATTTGATTTTTATTTACCCCAACCGTTGTTACCGGCAAACGATTTTTTTTTATATTACAAAAGACCTCTCTGCCTTCGAAGTCTTTGATTTCATTCAGCGGATATTGAGTTTTGGCTAGAGAGCAAATTGTGGAAAACAATGTCAAGTAAAGCATGAAAAGAATTAAACACTTGCTCGATTTGTTACATCTTCCTTTTGGTCTGGCGGAAAAAAGTTTTGTTCAAGAACTTTGATTAAATTCGTTTGTGAGGTATCAAGCGATTAATTGAATTTTTCAAGTGCCCAACGAAAAGGGACTCAATTTTTCATAATTAAATTCATTTCGTTTCATTTGCAGCCGACACATCGCGCATACGCCCGGTTGCGCATACAATTTTCCGTCTGCGTTTTTGTTCCTTCATTACAATCGAGATGATTTACCAACACCCAGTGAAAGTGACGAACAGTATATTTTATTTACCCCTTTTTATCTTAAATTCTTCAGCAAGCATTTTGGTGGTCAGAACAAAAATGCTTTATGCTTTATGCTCCAATTCACTACTCGAAAATATTCAAATTCAAATTCGCTTATAAATTTATTTTAGTTATGTTGTAAATGAATATATTCATGTTTAAGACAACAAATTTTATTGTTACGGATTCGGCTTTAGAAAAATTAACATGTCTTCAAAACAACGGCATTAAATTTTTTTAAAGGTTTTTTAATTCCAAATATCATTTTTTTCACGTATTAGAAATCAATCAGTGCCTATTGAATGCAAACAAAAAAATAATTACAAAAATTGTATACAACATTATTTTTGCTGTAAATTTAAAGCATGGTCTGATTGTCCTTTTCCGAGTTTCATTCTCTTGCATATCCCAGCAACTGTCATTGCAACATAATTACGCACTCCAAGCTACCACCCCATGGGAAAAATGGCAGAGAACCGAATATGCAATCAAATATTGGCAAACACAGAATTTTCCATCTACTTTGCTGCAGTATTCCGGGGCCCAGGACATGTGGCCAATATGGCAACCAAAGGGGCCCAAAAACAATTGTCCGGCCACGCCCCGAAGCCAGCCAACCACAATATCCACAACCACCGAGGCAGCCACCATCCACCATCCACCATCTCCACCCCCATGGCCGATCAACTGGTCATTCAATTTTGCAAGCCTTCCACCCTCGGGCGCCTGCATTATGCAGCTTACCTCGGACTGATTTCATTTTCGTAATTACCTCGCCGACTCGGAAAACGACCCAAATCCCCTTGTCCTTTCGCAGTGCGCAAAAAGTGTCTGTAATTGTGATTTTAATTTAATGTCTTAAAATATTTTTTCATTCAAAAATTAACTTAAGCTGCCAATATGAGCTTACATTCTTTATGTATTTTATTATTTATTTCAATATTTATTGAAAAATGTTTGCCTTCAGCAAAACTCAAGCATCCAATTAAAAATAAATAGGTACTTTAATAATCACTGTATAGGCTTGTTTATTTTATTTTTTTTTTAATTTGAACCAATAAATTACTATTTGATTTAAATATAATCAGTGGCCAGAAATCGAAATGTGTCGCAATATATTCTTTGGAAATCTGTGTTATTTCTCAGAAATTGATTATAATCACTAATCGCATGATTATTCATTTTTATATACGTAGACACAAAATCTTAAAATAATTTGTATTTATAAGTTAAATATATTTCTTACTTATTTTAGAATTTTTGATATTAAATTATTTAAAATATATATTCCCATCTTCTTAAATATTTCTTATATTATTATAGAACAAAATTGGGAAGACATAATCCAGAAAAATATGTTGGAAAAACCATAGCACGGAAAGCTGCTGGGAGAAGCTAATAAAAGCGACTTCAAAATGTAAATATGTACCAATTAGTATAAATTATATTAAATTTCCCCTAGCAGAGATCAATTATTTCGCTCAGTGCACTTTTTCTCTATTGGTTATCGACAGGTGGCGCATTCTGGCTTGGGCTCGGTCGAGCAGGCTTAACGAGTTGATTAAATGCTGTAATTGATGGAATTGCGAATGGGGATGCAAAGGTGTAAACGATCGGCTTGGAATGCCGCCTGGATAAACATGTCATTGTCGTTAGACGATGCCATGCCGGTCGATTGGGCGAGCTGCAAAGTGATTTGGGATGGCCCAGCCATCAAAACCCTGCCCATCGTCGAACCCTTTTCTCCTTTTCTCCGTTTCTGTTTCTCCCCATCGGACATCATCGGTGGGCATCAATCAGAGGAGCGCCGGGAATGCGAGCGTATTCATTTCATAAATATTTGCGGCAAGGGTCGAGGCACGACTTCATGAAAGGGTCGCAGTAAAAAGGCCAGCGAGATAGGTTGAATAAAAAAAATGATTTAAAAATTGAAAGGATTATGGGTGAGCGGCAACGGAGCGCGTTAATGTTGATGGCCGGATGGGTTCCCTTAGGGTCGGATTTTGGGGAACTGGGGACGGGTCTGCTGGTATGTGGCTGGTGTCGCTGTCAGTCAAACAAAACAGGGCTGAAATCAACGAGGATGCCAACGGCAATGCTGTTGTTGGCCAACAATATAATTTGAACAGGAATGAAAAATAAACGAGCCGCACGAGAAGTGATTTTTTTTTTGGGCCGAGAGCAAAGAGGTTGTATAAAAAAGAACATAAAGCGTGCAAATTTTGTATAAATCAAACCAAATATGTGAACAAAATGTTTTTTTATTTCGATTTCTGAAACCGGAATAGACACAAAATGTGTGTGTCCCACAGTGGAGTAAACAATTAACTTTAGTTGTAGAAAAAAATACAGTCAATGTTTTTCAATGTAGTAAAAAATCTCCAAATTATTATTATTATAATAAATAAATTAAATTTTCATAATCATTATTATAAATCCTTTAGTTACCTCATTTTAGTTTAAACATGCCAAATCTGTTAAAAACTGTAATACTAGAATAATAAGAACAAACCTGATTGAATGTTAAAACCGATTCTAAAAACTTGGAACTATACCACACTTTTTCAAAAAGCATTATTTGATTTAAGCTAAGTCTAATTTTGGTCTTAGTTTAATTAAAGTTCATAACGATGTTTTGCAAATCAAATGTCACCAACAAAATTCAAAACTGTACCCATTGTGTAGTTCCATTTTCATTACAATTTGTCCACTCCAATCCACTCTCTTTTTTTTACCACTGTGCAGAATTGCCTTTTATTTGAAGACTGAAAATATACAGACACTGAAAAAAAACTTTTTAAATGTTTATTGTAAAACTAAGAAAAAATAAAAATATTAATCATTTTAACGCACAAGACTATTCTTATTTTAATCACTCGAAAAGGTTTACTTAAAATTTTTTACTTCCCAACATTCTTATATATTGAATATACGAACAAAATATTGAGCACAATTATGGTAAAAAATTAAATGGAGAATAAAAATAAATATTGCTTGTTACTACATAAATTTTGTAGGATTTTCTATTGTAGTCAACCTAATGTAAGAATGGTGTTGAGGAAATGAATTTCAGTGAAACCAACTTTATGTTAACCTGCACATCTTGGATTACTTACTTAGGATGCATTTCGCCTGGATTATAAAGGAAAAACCTGTGTAATTTTGAGTGCCATATTTCACAGCGATTATAGCTGGTGAACTTCTCTTCGTGTATCCACATGGGTGGACTTTCCACTGACATTGTCTGCCCCTTTATCCTTTGCACCGGACAACTTCTACGGCTGCTGCTGCTGCTGCTGCTGCTGCTGGCAGTTTGCACAACGATAAATGTTATAACTGAGCTGGGGATTTGCTGCTACTGTTTGGCAGTTTGGTAGGTGGAACAGCTGCCGCTTTTCGGCTTGGACGTGGTCTTGGACTTGGTCTGACAAAACTCAATTTATTGTCGAGCGCCGCAAGCACGGGCTCCCTTTCGCACAAAAGCTCCCCGCCAGGACATTATCCATCTATCACATTTTCTGTGGCTCTCTTTCATCACTGTGCCTTGTGGTTGTGTTTGCTCGACTGGCATTTCCACATTTCCACCATTTTCACCATTTTCCCCATTTCTATATTTCCACATTTCCACTTCCCCCTCTGGCAGGACTTTATGATGTCCATTCTCGCTTCTCGGCGTTGACTGCTGAAAATTGAAAATCATAATCGCATCAACTTTCTGCACCGAAAACTTTCACCACTGTGTGTGCGAAAAGTTGTGACTTTCTCCCATCCCCCCGAAAGTAGGCAGTGCACGAAGTCTGAATGCTAGAAA